TGCTAGAATTAAAAGACAAAGTATTATTCAGGGATCTTAAGATTTGCAAATCATGAAACAATATCAGGTGGCACCCAGAGTGTCCTGACGAAAACAGAAAAGCTGAGAGTTCTTCGAGTAAAAAACACATTCATGAGAAGAAGCGGTCCTGCGTTCTTAGCTTCTGCACTGGTCTGAGGAGGTCATCTCCCAGATGGCAGGCCGATTGGACATGCATGTGAACGTTCTTCCCGAGTTCTTCGGAGGGCATGGGTGCCGAAGTGAGTTCAAAAGTCTAAGGTCCTCAGTTAAAGGAAAGCAAAACCTCTTCCTCATGTTTCAACTCATTCGGACTTAAGTAGTTTTGTTAGCTTGGCTGTGGCGACTCCATGCTGTTCTTTACTCTTTTCTCAGTAGGTAATAAATCTGGTCATTTTCTTCTGCTCATCTGTCTCGTGTTAATTCGATATTAGTCCAGCCAGAAGAATTTAGAAGGGTAGAAGGAAACTTATTTTTCTGCTGCCACAGTGGTTTCCTTTGAGACATATTTACAACTGTTTTCTGCCTTAGCATGTGGTCGACATTTGTAAATGTTCCATGTGAGCTTAAAAGGAACATGTTTTCTTTAATTTTGGGAACTCTGGGCTTTTTATGTTGGTCTGCTGAATTGTTTGTTAGCTATATTGCCTAATATTCTATATATTTCCTAATAATTTGCCCGATTGACCCGTTGATAATTGAGAGAAGTGCACTGGAATATCCTTCTCTCCGTAGATCTGTCCACTCTTATTCACACATATATACATATATATTTAATGCAGTTATTTGGAATAGTGAAACATGCAGCTCAGTACAGAAAACAGCCTAACAGGTGATAAAGTACTGTTGCACGTTTCTAAAATAGTAACTATGAGTGTTAGCCATCTGAGGTCCAGGTGCTCGATGCTTTGAAACACCAAAGCTCAAAATGTCAGAGTTTGGAGTCAGGAGAGATTTATTGGTTGAGAACATGGGAGCCTCCTGGTTTCCCAGAGTTCAGTCTTCTTTTATGTCGCGGGCGGGGGGGATGGGAGGGGCTGTGCTTGTAAAACCCCAGCTGACAGCGGACCCCCTGATGCCCAGCTCGGCCACCTGTGACAGTGTTCCCCAAGGACTTCGCAGGTGGAATGAGGTGGCCTCAGACAGGCGAGCATCCCACTTGGTTCCATGCGTTTCTGTATCTCTTTTGTGAGACTTTTTCTTTTCTTTCCTCTTTAAAAACCCTTTTTATTAAAATATATGTGTTTACTTTCTGTATTTTCAGCTACTTTATACATGAGTAAAATTAAAATCAAAATTCTCTTTAACTCTAATAATCATATTTTTCTTGAAGCATATTTTTCCAATGTGAATATATACACGAGCTTTTTTCTTTTTAAATGAACATTTGCTATGTTATCTTTTTCTGTCTTTTGACTTTCATCCATTGTGTGGCGTTGTAGTTTAGGCTTATCTCTTGGAAAGTACACATAACTGTATTTTTAAAAACCCAGCTGGATAATCTGTGTCCGGTAGTAGTCAGGTTCAGTCTGTTTGTTTATTGTGATTATCAACTTACTTGGATTTGCTTCATCCTTTTTAGATTCTGACATCTGTTCCATTTTCCCCCTTTGCTTCATTTTTAATATTGAATAATTGGTTGTTTATTTACTGACGTATCACATTTCCCCCCTACTAGTTTAAAAACTATGAATTCTTCTGTTCTTAGTGGTGTCCTCGGGATTCTGCGTCGTCTTCGTTAGTCCCATTTCGTCCAGTCCCTGCCCCTCAGCCCGGTGGCCAAGCTCCCAGCTTCCTCGTCACTGTGTCCCGCACTGGACTCCTCCTTCTCTGATCTCGCGAAGTCAGTGTCGTCATTATTATTTTGACTTTACAGAGACTGTGTTTATTTAGATTCATCAACGTCTTGGCTTACTAATTTTTGGCTTACCTTTTGTTCTTGCATCTCAGACCTTCCTTTAACATTACTTTCTGTCTTCCTGAAGTACAGACATTCCTGCTGTAACATGACATACGCATTCCTGAAAATGCCATGACTGAAACAATAGGCCTTGTGGGAAAAACGCATGAGCATGTGATTCACGGTCTGTGCAGCTGCAGCCAGATCATGACCCAAAGTGAGAGCAGTCCTAAGAGAAATACTGGCAAAGGCACATCTCTGTGGGCGTTCGCACCCAGCATCGAGGCTGGACTCTGGTCTCCCGGAGGGCGTTTGCTCCGGGTAGAGGCCTCCTTCTGGCGGGCAAGAGTGGCTGGAGGGGACTCGCCTGTGGCTGGAGGGGACTCACTTCTCTGCGCCTCAGACAGCGAGCTTTTCCTCCCCCTCCCCCCTAGTAGGAGTGCCACCTTCTGCTCTTGTACTGCTCAGAGGACAGTGGCCTCAGGCAGAAGGTGGGGTGCATGTGGGGCCCCCTACTCCTGAGGACTTGGCTTTGGTTTGTCCATGTGGGTTGCCTCCTGTCGCCTGAAACCTTCAGGTTATGTATTTTTCCAGCTTTTAGAGCTGTTTTCAGTGGGAGGATGAATCCACTTGAAGCTTCTCTGCCACAGGCCGTTGAAATTCTAGGCCAGTTTTATAGACTTTTATTGCTTGTTCTTGTTTTAAGATTAATTTTTAATTTTGTTACATATTTATATTTAGATATTGGACTCCGTGGGCCAGATGGGGGATGCTTTTGCCTGAGGGTATTTCCATTTGCTTTCCCAGAAGCTCAGGGCGCCGCCGTCAGCCCCAGTGGGGGGATCAGTCTAACAGGAGGCCTCAGTCATTCGGTGCCTGGCAGGGAGCCCGAGGCTCAGGGCTCCATCAGGCATTGGTGGACCGTGTGCCCTCAGCTCAGCCTCTTAATCTGAAAAATGGGGCCAGCAGTGCATGCCGGTGAGTGCTGCTGCCAGGAGTAAGGCCTCGGGCGTGTCCGCAGCATGGCTGCTCCGTAGTGACGACCCCTCCCTTCTCCAGGCCGCTAGGTGCCATCTGGCTTCACTGTCTTCTGTTTCCGTGATTTACCTGTTGTTACCTGTAAGTGTTTTCTTTTGGTTTTTAATAACCTGCTTTTAACAATGAATTTACTTAGTCCTTTCTCACTTCAGTGTCCCTTTTTTCTCAGTCTGCTTTAACTTAATTGAGTTATTTGCTGTAGTAAATCTATTTCAGGAGAATTATTTCCATCCAGGCTTTGGCATCTTTGTTCTATTTCTCTTGAGCAGCAAAACTCTTTACAGAGTCCATGTTCGTTCTTTTTTTTTTTTTTTTTACCATATTTTTTACCAGTTCAACTTATTGTTGAATTGGCTTTATTGTTATTGTGGAAGAGTCTGAAAAGCTGTGGTTTTAAAATAATAAATGTTTATTAATTTGAAAGTAATGCATGATCATCATGGAAAGGTTTTTGGATGTTAGAAGCATAATGAAGAGAATTAAAATTACTTTCACAAAGCCATTCAAAGATCACCCGTTATTATTTCGGTGTTCTGTCTTTCCCCATATATGTTGTTTTTTGTAGTTGAGCTAATCTGGAATATACAAGTATGTAGTCTTATTTTTAACTTACCATATCATAAGCTTCTTTTATCATTTAAACTATTTGTAGGCATTTTTAATATCCAGAGTATGATGTTTCATGTATACCGGGTATACTTAGTCAATATCCTGTGGTTGTATGTTTTACAACTTTTTTTTTTTTTTAAGATTTTTTTATTGGGGAATTGGGGGGATGGGAACAGTGCTGGGGAGTTGGGGGAAGGGGAACAGACAAGTTGCTGTCGTTTTGTTCTTCAGTCTAGTTGTGGAGGATGTTGCTTCACTGGCCCAAGTTGGCACCATCATTGCGCTCTTCCCAGGTGAGGCAGATCAGTCGCCGGCTTCTGGACGGCCGCTCACTGCGGCTGCTGGCCGCTCACGCTGGCTGCTGGCCGCTCACGCTGGCTGCTGGCCACACACGGTAGCCCATGGCAACCCACTGCCACAGGGGCTGCAGCCCACGCCGTCACCGGCGACCCACGGCAGCCCAGCTCCAGGTTGAGCTGTTGTTCAGCATCTTAGCTGTAGAGGGCAGCGTCACCGGCCCTCATATGTGGGATCCGAACCGGGGCCCTCCGGCATCCCAAGCGAGCTCTTAACCATCGCGCCACTCGGCCGGCCCTGTTTTATAACTTTTTGTTATTGTAAAAGAACTGAAAATAACCACCTCTGTGAGTACGGATTTTTGTGTGCATGCTTGATTTCCTCAGGAGATTGGTCTTACAAATGAAATCAACAGATAGAACATTTTAGGTCTTTAAATAAGCATTGCAGACCGGCTTTCTTAGAAGACAGTGTAATTTACGCCGTTTGGCAGGGGAATCCGATGGTGAAGAGCAAAAGTCACGGTCATTCTAACCCTGGGGAGTATGACTGGTGGGAACCAAGTTGGGGAGGGCATGCAGGAGGGCCAAGGACGGTCTCGGGAAGGGGGAATGCGGAGTATGGCCGTGCCTGCTGGCCAGCACCCTGGGCCAGCGCCCTCTGAAGTCCCCGGCAAGGCGGGCCTGCCGGAGGGCCCTGACGGAGAGGACCCAGGTGGGGTCTGACCACTGCCTAGTTTGGAGAGCGCCTGTGGTGTGTTTATTTTGAGGGGTGAATCCTGGACCAAAGGAGGGGAGCCTACTGGCCCTGGTGTCTGGGGCTGAGGGGGACCACCTAGACAATGACTCCTAGCGGGTGCAGAGGTGCCCACTGCCAAGGGCGCGGTGCTCGACCCTGGGGAAGCGAGAGGCAAGGAAGGGGCCCTTAGGGTCTCTGGCAGAGGGAGCAGCCCTGGGCATCACTCACCTCCCTCGTGATCCGACATGATTGGAGGGAGTCTCGTGTGAGGCTGTGTTCTTAGCCACGTGCCTTTTGCTGGGTGGGTACACTCGCCTGTGGTGTTGGGGCTGGGAGAGACCTGTGTGATGTGGCCTTTATGTGGCCACACCCCTAACTTGGTGGCCCTGTGTCCTCGCAGGTGGCAATGTGGACCTGGAAAGCCAAGCAGAGGGGAAAAAGGAGGCGGAAGCTGCTGAAGTGACACGCGGCGGCCCCCGACCCATCGTCCCTTACAGCTCCATGTTCTGCCTGAGCCCCACCAACCTGTGAGTCTATCCCCGTCCTTGCTGTGTGCCACCCACTGGTGGGTGTGTGGCCCGTCCCCATGCACAGGACAGAGCAAGTGCTGGGTGTGACCCTGCAGGCTCTGATGTCATGCGCTTCATGTGTGTGGACGTCCTGATATCATAACAGGACGCCAAGCACACACGGTCATTCGTCACTTCATGGATCAGGGTACAGGGAAGTCGTGGCTAGTCTGCAGACACACAGCCAGGCTGAGTGCCAGAGCCGGGCTCGCATCCCCGCCATGGCCTTTGTTCATCTCTGCATACATGCCCCGTTCATACCCACGTGTGCACCTGCCCCGCAGTCACCATGCATTTCTGACCATTGCAACTGCATAGCCCGTGTTTATGTGCCAGATGTCATTCTAGTAGCTGGGGACACACCACAAAGAACAGAGCAGAAGAGCGCCGTCCTTAGTAAGCGTCCCTGCTAGTGCGTGAGACAGGCGGCAAAGGAAGCCAATACGTAAAGGACAGAAGGTGTCCCATGGGGTCAGCACTCAGGAACCACAAAGCTGGGAGTGCAGATGCCACTGTGGGGCTAAAATACCGGAAGGTCAGGCTGACCTCAGCAGGAGGTGGGGTTGGAGCCAACATGTGAGGGGGGTGGGTCAGAGGCCACAGCAGGGCTCAGAGGACAGCAAGGTCCCCTGGACTAGGGCTCCATGCATTAGCCATCTGTCCCGCCAGCCCTTCTGCCTTTGGGCACCCAGCAGCCCGTCCCCCTCATCTTCACTGAGCACAGGTCTTGGGAGCCTGCTCTGCTTGGGCTTGGGAGGAAAATGGTGCTGCAGACAGAGATGGCCCCTGGCCGTCACAGTGGCTGTGCAGGAGGGACAGGCTGCATGCCGATCAGTACAGGGTTGGAGCCGCTGAGAGGGAGGTCCTGGTGTGCGGGAGCAGGTGGGGATGGCCAGGGGAGCTGTCCTGGAGGAAGGCCAGATCCCAGGGAGGAGCGTTCAGGTGAAGAGGGAAGCGGCATGTCTGGAGAGAGGAGAGAATTTGCAGCCGCCCAGACGTGAGTGGTGCTGGGCTTAGGGCAGCTGCAGGCAGAATGGGGTAGAAAGGCACAGACGTGCACGGGGCCTGTGCCCTGTCCTACAGAGAAACCAGACACATTGGAGGTTGTGCGCAGCTGGGGGAAGGTGGTGATGCCGTGAGGCTGCCCTTCAGCAGCGTCCTTTGATGGGAAGGCTGGTGACAGGCAGGCCCCTTCGTCGTAGGTGGTGTAGGTTTTCAAGGAAAAGATGGTGGTGATCTGACGGGGTAGTCCTGGCGGAGAGGCTTGGAAGGGAACTGTTGGGGAGAATCTGCAGAATCTGATGATAACTCAGATGTGGAAAGGGAGGGAGATGTCGGGGACGACACCCAGGGCCTCTGCGTGGCAGCTGGGTCCCGCTGGGAGTGGGCATGCAGCCGGGGAACCAGCCAGAGAGGAACCTCCAAGGGGATCGGAAGGGAGAGCCCAGCAGGGGGCACACGGGGCCTCGCTGAGCGTGCTTTGTCCCCAGGCTCCGCCGGGTCTGCCATTACATTGTCACCATGCGGTACTTTGAGATGGTCATCCTCGTGGTCATCGCCCTGAGCAGCATCGCCCTGGCCGCTGAGGACCCTGTGCGAACGGACTCGCCCAGGAACAACGTGAGCGCGCCGTGGGGGGCATTGGGCTGGGGCGCGGGCTGCTCCGTGCCACCCGCAGCCCCTGAGGCCGTCCGTCCCCTCCGCTTTCAGGCCCTGAAGTACCTGGACTACATTTTCACAGGCGTCTTCACCTTCGAGATGGTGATCAAGGTGAGCTGTGTGCTCGCCCTGCAGAGCGCTGATGACGCGCCGGGCCACGACCTCGTAGTGGGGCGCGGGCCTGCTGCCCTGCGTGTGCGTGTGTGTTGTGGGGAGGAGGCCGCGTTCACCCAGGATCACCGCAGCGTCTCTCAAGCCTTGGGACAGCTCCTGGCGGCTCCGGGTCTGCACCGGCTTCTGGTTGGCTTCCCACCAGCAGCGGAGGGGCCTTGGGCATGTGGGGGATGGAGGGCTCGGGCAGGAACCTGGGCCCAAAGAGCGCACACAAAGCTGCTGAAGACATTGCTTTCAAAGGGCTCCAGTATTTGGTGGCAGATTAACCCCGTTTCACTGGGACCTTTGTGTTTTGTCTGAGCTCCAGGCACCGCTCCCTTGTCTGTGGGTGACCAGCAGCTGGTGTGCGTTCAGGTGTCTGCACGTGCACGTTATCTGTCTGTTGTGGCTTAGTGTGCTGTGCACACAACTCAAGGTGGCTTTTACTGTGTGTGCGTCCACATGCCACCCACATCCTTGCAAACTCCTGGGGGGGAGGGTGTTGTCATCCCACTTTACAGATGAGGAAATTGAGCCTTGGAGACATTTTCTGCCACAGCTCTAGGAGTGGCAGAACTAGGTCCCCGTGAATGCCGCCAGCCCTCCACCCCGCTGCCGGGTCTGGCCGGGTGTGGGCACTCTGGGCCGTGGGCCTGCAGCTCAGCGTGGAGCAGCTTTGCACTCAGGCTCCAGGGCAGCTGGGGGCCCAGGCAGGATCTCAGCCATCATGACCATGGAGGGATCTTGGAGGTCAATGGCACTGAGGTCCAAAGCCCGAAAGGACCTCAGAGGGTGTGCCTGGGCCTGGTCTCCTATCCCTGGGAGGGCGTGAGCTGGAGCGGCACCTTCCCTCAACCCCACGACTCTGCGGCCAGGCTCGGCCTCTCTTCTGAAGTGTCCTGTACCCTAAGTGTGTCTCTCCCCAAAGATGATCGACTTGGGGCTGCTGCTGCATCCTGGGGCCTACTTCCGGGACTTGTGGAACATTCTGGACTTCATTGTGGTCAGTGGGGCCCTGGTGGCGTTTGCCTTCTCGTAAGTACCGCAGTGTGCTCTGGATGTGGCCGGGCGGCAGCCCCCAGATCCGCAGTGGGGTGGGGGGGCTGGGTGGGGGGCAACGCCGGCCACCATGGGCTGTTTGGACCCCATTCCCCCCTGCCTGGGCCTGGGTTCTGTGGGGGTGGGGACCTCAAGGCCCGCGTGTGCCTGCCGCAGCCCCTGGTCCTGAAATCTGGTGGGCGGGCCTCTAGCTTCTTTGGCATCTGCTTCTCCCTGCCCTTCCCAACAACTTGCGCACCCTGACCTCCGCTGTGCTGCGTAGCCGGCCAGAGCCGGCAGGTACCTGGGCGTCCATCCGGCAGCTGTGGGGCATTTTCCCCGGTTCCCTAGTGAGGGACACTCAGCCCTGTTGCATCTGGGCCTGGAGTGGCTCCCCCAGTCTGCGTGGCACGGGGGGTGAGTCACGCATGGAGGGCCTGGTGCAGCTTGGGGAGACACGGGCGACATGAGGTGCAGCGTAGGGAAGGCCGACGGATGCCTGTGCTGAGGGCCAGGTCCCTGTGCTGAGCCCGCGGGGGGTGCATGCCCCTCACCAACTCTCTTCTCTTTGCCTCCCTGTTGCTGGACTCGGCAGGAGCTTCATGGGGTAATGCCTTCCCTCTGTCCCCTCGCACTCACTGCCCCACATCATGGCATACTGACGACCCTAGGGGCCGTGTCATCGCCTCCTCCCCCTGGCTGCATGTTGCCGGGAGCCCTGTCCCGGGGCCACGTGTTCCTGTCTTGCCTCGGGGGTCCCTGTGGGGGCTGGGTGGGGGCTAGGCACGGTCAGCCCTTGGTGAGGGGGTGCCGTGAGCGGTGTCAGACTGCCTGCTGGAGGCTGGGGTTAGAGGCCCAGGGGCACCTTCCCACAGGTCTCCTCTTGAGAAACAGCTTCTGCTTTCGTCCCACACCTCCCTGCAACGCCCAGCCTCTCCTCTTTCTAGATAAAGGAGGTGACAGCTTTGCCAGCACCAGGGAGGGACTCGGGGGGTGAGAGTGGGGATAGGTGAGATCCAGAAAGACCCTGAGCTGAAGGAGAGCCGTGCGCCTCTGGACACTCAGAGCACACACTGCCCCGGTGTTCCTCCCGTGGTTACGGGAGATAAAAGCACCTCTTCCCCCGTCCCTCCGGCAGGCCTCTCTGTCCCCTTTACTGGTGCTGGTGTCTGGAGGAAGCTGGTTTGGGGGTGGGTGTCAGGACACTGGGCCTTCCCGCCTGGACTTGGAGGGAGTCCCCAGCAGGGTCCTGGGGGCGAGGCAGGGCCGGCCAAGCTCTCATCCCCCAGGGAGCTGCCGCCTGGGCCTCCACCTCTCTCCCCAGAGCCTGGTGGAGCCCAAGGAAGACCATGGGGGTGGGGGCTGCCCTGAACTTGGGGGAAAATGGCCTTAGAGCAAGATGGACAGGACCTGGAGTCCTGAGCCTTCAGCCACCGCCCCTCCCCAGCGGGGTGGGGCCTTGCTTCTGCAGGTGGCCTCCTCAGGCCCCAGAGTCTGACAATTCTTGGGTCCCTGCCAGCTTGAGGGAGCCACCGGGGCCAGCTCTGGCGTCCTCTGGGAGGGCCCTGATCTGGTCCCAAAGGCCCTGGACCTCTGAACCTGCTTCTGGTGCCTGGAAGTTTCTTTACCTGACTTCCAGTCTTAACTGCTTGCCTGCCCAACCCACCCCCACAGCTCTCCCACCCCCACTTCTGACTCTCTGTCCCCCTTGGTCTGTCCTTGGTCTGCGCTTGTCTCTCGCGTTGCCTCTGTGTTTATCAAACTGGCCTCTTTCTTGCTCTCTTCGCCTTCTCCCCTCCCTGCAGGTGCCCCCCCACCCCATCCCCACCCACCGTCCTGTCAGCTTCCCACCATTGGAGGAGGGCTAGGGCAGCGGAGAGAGGGCAGGCAAGGAGGTCCTGACATGTGCCCCTGACCTCCCTCTTCCGGGAGAAACCAGACCTTCCAGAAGGTTCCAGGACACACGCACACTGCTTGTCAACTTCCTGTGCTGGCCCCAGGCCCCCCAGCGCCCTACTCCCACTGCTGGTCTCAGCCTGGTGGCTGGAGGAAGCTGGTTCCGGGTGGGTGTCGGGAGTGCCCGGGCGACAGCAGGAGCTGATGTGGCCTCGGGGGGAACAGGCTCTTTCCATCGGGAAGCTCTGCTCTCCCAGGTCACCAGGTGCCACGCGCCTGGTCCTGTCCACTCAGTGAGGCCTTGGCCAGGCACCCGTGGGAGGACACGCAGCAGCCTGGGATGCCTGTGAGGCCGATGCCTCCAGGCTCCTGGGTCCTCTGCCCTGGGACCCACGACAAAATGCATTGGGGTGTGACCCAGACCCCAGGAGGCTTCGTGGGAGTTGCACGGGTGTGCATCCTGCCTGTCTGCATATGTGGCTTCTCCCTTCTAGAGGATCCAAAGGGAAAGACATTAACACCATCAAGTCCCTGAGAGTCCTGCGTGTCCTGCGGCCCCTCAAGACCATCAAACGGCTGCCTAAGCTCAAGGTGACAGCCTGGAGTCGGGGTTCGAGAAGTGTGCAAGACTGTGCGCATGTGTGTGTGGGTGCACGTGCATGTGTGCTGTGCGTGTAGGTGTATGTGTGCCTGTGCGCCCAGGGTGCAGACATGTGAGTGAGCACGTGTGCTGTGCGTTGTGGGGTGTACACAGCGCATATGTGTGTGTGTGTGTGTGCGCACAGGATGTGTGCATACGCCTGTGGGTGCACATGCATGTGCGCTGTGCGTGCGTGCGTGTACGTGTGTGTGCTGCAACTGCAGGACGTACACATGTTCCGTGGGTGTGCACGTGTGTTTGTTCATGCGTGTGTGCACACGTGCATTTCACTGGCCCTGTCCCGCTGCAGTTGCCCATGTGGGGCGGGGACGCACGAGGCTGCCAGAGCTCCCACATTGGCTTCTCTCAGATCACGCTTGTGGGAGTGGGTTGGGCTCTCAGCTCTGTGGCCCTTACTCCCAGCAGTGTCCTGCAGGTGACACCAGGTGGGCAGGGTGTGTCCCTCAGACGCTGCAGTACTGGGAGAGAGGCAGCGGACCCTGGCGGAGGTGTGGGGGGGCAGGTGCTCCCCAGGAGTGGTGATGGGCTGGGCCCTAATGGATGGGTGTGGCTGAGGTTCTGGATAAAGGAAAGAGTGTGAACCCAAACTCGTAGTTGTGCTAAAATCTGTTTCTGAGCTGAGCTAGGGCCTGTGAAACGCTGTCTTCCACTCGTGTAATCCAAACTATGCGACACCAGCTGTGGGAGCTGCAGAAAGCCGTGTGCTTAGAGCCCTGTGTGAAGGCGTGGGCTGGGCGTTGACCTAAAGCAGCTGGCAGCCCTCTGTGTCAGGTCAAGTGGTCAGTGGCTGCATTTCCAAGGCTGCGGCTCGGCCTGGGCAGCGTCGCAGAGCTGGATGTGAGTTTTGCACTAGAGCAGGACGGGAGGGGGGAAGAAGCCAAGAAACGCAGGTGGTGCTGTGACGTGTGACAGTCACTTCTGGGACTCAGGACGTGCCAGAGTCCCTGTGCCGGAGCTGGCCACAGCATCACTGCTTTTCTGCCCTGTGTGGGTCGCACTGATGGCACGGCGCAGGTGTGGGAGTGGGGCTGGCCACATCCCCGTACCCACTCCTTTGCCTCTGTGTTGGTCCCTCCTGACGGTCAGCCTGGGCTCCAGCTGTCCTTTTTTGTGTGACCCTCCTGCCCCACGCCACCTCTTGTAGCACCTGCCCTTGCTATCAGGTCCAAGATGTCCCCTCCTGAGAGAAAGGTGACGTCAGGCAGCTTCCTGTGCCAAGGCTGCTGGCAGCAGATCCTCTCGAAGGCCACAGGCCTGGGGGCCTTGTCCCTTCCAGCACCTGGGGTCCCTGAGGTTCTGAGACGCAGGCACCCTCTCTCCTCCGTTTACTGGAGTGCCCTGTCTGAGCCGGCGCCCGTCCCCATAGGCTGTGTTTGACTGTGTGGTGAACTCCCTGAGGAATGTCCTCAACATCCTGGTCGTCTACATGCTCTTCATGTTCATCTTCGCCGTCATCGCTGTGCAGCTGTTCAAAGGGAAGTTCTTCTACTGCACCGATGAGTCCAAGGAGCTGGAGCGCGACTGCAGGTGAGTGGGCAGGGCCAGGTGGGGACGGCCACTCCCCAGGTCGGGCTCTCCCTGCTGCAGACATAGCGCCAGAGCTCATGGGGCCATTGGGCGTGGCCAGAAGGCTTTACCCTGCAAATCAGAGCTGGCGTTGAGGTCAGAGCTGCTTTTCCGTCCTGGGCCCCACAGCAGAGCAGGCAGGACAGGTGCCCTCAGGAGAGTGTGTGGTGTGGGCACTGAGCCAGGTGGTGTGGGCAGCCCCGTCCTCATCCACTGCGGTAGCCCCAGTTGTGTCTGCAAATGTGCCACAACTTTCTCGTGCATTTGTGACTTCTGTGCAGTGGGCTGATCTCAGGGTGAGGGTCCCATTGTCAGTGCTGCTGTGACTGTTGCCAGAGCCGTCCCTTGGGCAGCAAAGGCGCCCGGCCCCAGGAGGCGTGCACACCCAGCTCGTCAACTGGGCTGCATTCAGCTTTCACAGGTGCCGCCAAGCACTTTGCCAGTTACCCCCCCACAGCACGGTCGGGCTCCAGCACCCACACCCTGCTCTACCTGTGGTCTGTCTTTTGCCTTTAGCCGTTGTGGTGTGGGCAGGAGTCGTGGCATTCCTCTGTGTTTAATTTGCACATGTGGTGGCCTTTTCCTGGGTGGATCGGCCACTTGGATGTCCCTTCCTGGGACGTGCCTGTGCAAGCCTTTGCCTATTTTCCTGGAAGGGGTGTCTGTCTCTTTCTGGTTGATTTGTAGGAATCCTTTGCCGGATCTGCCTCCCCCTCCTCTATGGGCATCTTTTCTGTCAGTGGCTTCTTCTCAAGACCAAGTCTTGATTATAATGTAGTCCAGTGCATTCTCTTCTGTCCCATTTAGGAAATCTGTCCCAAGGTCAGGGAGATGTCTCCTTATGTCTTCCTGAAAAAGTTTTATATTTGCCTGTCACACATGAGAGATGTGTCTTGAGTGTTGTGAGGTAGGGATGAAGGTAAGTTTTCTGTAGCTGTGTCGCCAGTGGCACAGCAGCAGCTCTCCCCATTGCAGTGGGAGTTTTTGTGTTTTTCATAAAAATAGCTTATTGAGATATAATTCATGTACCATATAATTCGTCCATTGAAAGTATACAATTCATTGGTTTTTGGTGTATTCACAGATATGTGCAACTATCTCTGTAGTCGATTTTAGAACATTTTCTTCAGTTTAAAAAAACACACGAAAAACCTGTGCCCTGTAGCTGTGATCCCTACCTACCGCCTCATCTGCAGCCCTAAGCAACCCTCATCTATTGTGTGTCTCTGTAGGTGTCTGTTCTGGACATTTCACATAAGTGGAGTCACACAGCATGTGGCCTTTTGTGTGTGACTTCTTCTGCTCAGTACGAGGTCTCTGAGGTCATCCGTGCTCCAGTCCTGTGACCGTCCAGTGTCACTCCCTTCTATAGACCGCCCACGTTTTATGGACTGTTCACCTGTGGGTGGACGTTTGGCTGCTGTGGTTAGTGCTGCTGTGAACATGTGTGGACAGATGTCCCCATTTCTCTTGAGCAGATACTTCTAGTGGAGTTGAGGGGTCACATGGCAGCTCCGTTCAACAATTTGAGGAAGTGCCACACTGTTTTCCAACATGGTTGAACAATCTCACATTCTCACCAGCAGTGTGTGAGGGTTCCGGTTTCACCACATGCTCGCCAATACTTGTAATTTTCCTTTTTAAAACTAAGTCCCAGCCGTCCCAGTGGGCGTGAATGGTCTCTCACTGGGTTTGATTTGCATGGCCCCATGACTCAGACTAATTGGCCATTTGTGTGTCTTCTTTGGGAAAATGTCTATTCAGATTCTTTACCCAATGGGGTATTTGTGTATTTTATAATTGATTGTAATAGTTCTTTGTATATTCTTGATACAAGTCCCTTATGAGATAGATGATTTTCAAGTATTTTGTCCATTCTGTGTGTTGATGGTGTCCTTTGAAGCACAAAACTTTAAAATTATGATAAAGCCCAATGTGTCTGTTTTTTGTTGGTCATGATTTTGGTGTCGTAACTAAGAATCCATTCCCAAACCTGAGGCCCCTGTGTTTTCTGAGAGCGTTACAGTTTTAAGCTTTGGCATTTAGGCCTGTGATTCACTTTGAGCCAGTGTTTGTGTGTGGACTGAGGCGGAGTCCCACGTCACCCTAGTGCATGGGGACCCCCAGTTGTTGAAGCACCACTGTCCTTTCTCCACTGAGTGGACAACACTTTCCAAAAATCGTTTGACTGCAGACACGGGTCTGTCTGGACCGTTTGCCTTTAGCCTCTAACGCCTGTCTTCCCCTTTCCCAGGGGCCAGTATTTGGATTACGAGAAGGAGGAAGTGGAAGCCCAGCCGCGGCAGTGGAAGAAATATGACTTTCACTATGACAATGTGCTCTGGGCCCTGCTGACCCTGTTCACGGTCTCCACGGGAGAAGGGTGGCCCATGTGAGTCCTCACCTGACTCATTGCGCCAGTCAGGCTGGAGCGGAGGGCTCTGGGCAGGGAGGGCCAGGCTGCGTCCATGGGCGTTTCAGTCACTCAGCAAACCACGCAGGCCTCTGTACTAGCAGATGACATGTGGCCCCACCCTCCAGAGTGGCGGCCTGGGGCCGAGGACGGGGAAACCAGAGTGCAGCTTCGTGGTCTCCTGGAGATCCTTCTTGAGTGGCCGGAGGCCAGAGGGAGGATGGGGGTCTTGGGCGTCTCCCTGTGCTCAGCCTGCTGGCCTCAGTTAAGGCAGCCAGAGGGACGCAGGTGTTTACTGCCACAGGGGCTGGCAGGGGGCTTCCTCTGGGGCTGGGAGGACCACCCCTCAGGAGGTGGAATCAGTGCTCTGGCAGGAGACCCTTCTGAGCCCTGGCTTCCTGAAGGCAGGTGAGCTGGGTGTGAGTGGGTGTCAGTGAGTGGGCTGAGTGTGAGTGGGTGTGAGCGGGTGAGCTGCAAGTGAGCTGGGCAGGACAGAACTGTGAGGGCTGTTTTACTTCTCCTGGGGACAGGACCTCAGGCACCTAGAGGTCTCCCCTCGGAGGTACCCCTGCAGCCCTGAGTACAAGCCCTTTACTGGGGAAGGCGCCCACCTCAGAGAGAGACAGCCGTTCTGGGGGTAGGCTTGGCCCACAGTGAGGCAGAGCCCTCCCTGGGCTCAGCCCCCCTCCGTCTCACTGTCTCCAGACCCAGGTGTGGGAGCCTCACCTGGGATGCAGGTCATGACTCAGGGCTGTGTCCTTGTGGGCTCCCCTGACCTGGGCATTCGCTCTGGCCAGGGTGCTGAAACACTCCGTGGACGCCACCTACGAGGAGCAGGGCCCGAGCCCCGGCTACCGCATGGAGCTGTCCATCTTCTACGTGGTCTACTTCGTGGTCTTCCCCTTCTTCTTTGTCAACATCTTTGTGGCCTTGATCATCATCACCTTCCAGGAGCAGGGGGACAAGGTGATGTCTGAATGCAGCCTGGAGAAGAACGAGGTAGGTGGCTCGCTGCCCGCTGGGTAGTGGCGGGGCCCCGGCTTCCTTCTGCGCGGGTCCCTCGTCATGGGGTCAGCCTCGGTCCCCACTGCGCCCAGTACGGGGCAGGGAGAGACTGTGGTCAGGGCTGCCTGGAGGAAGAGACAGCAGGCGCAGCGTGTGTGGGCGCTGCCGCAGGGCCCCCCTGAGTCGCGGCGCCCTGCCTCCCATGCAGCGGGCATGCATTGACTTCGCCATCAGCGCCAAGCCCCTGACGCGGTACATGCCGCGGAACAAGCAGTCGCTTCAGTACAAGACGTGGACGTTTGTGGTTTCGCCGCCCTTCGAGTACTTCATCATGGCCATGATAGCCCTCAACACGGTGGTGCTGATGATGAAGGTGCGTGGGCCCCGTGTGGGTGTGGGGATGGTGGGCCTGGTGGGGGAAGGGGGCGCCGCCGTGGTCCCACCAGCGTGTGTGGGGGATGCACTTGCTGCCCGTTCCAGTTCCTGGCAGCTCAGGTGCCCGTCGGTCCCATTCCCCAGAGGTCCGTGGGCCGAGGCAGAGGGCGGTTCCGGGGAAGCGGGGATGGTAGGGTGTCTGTGTGCCCCGTGCTCTGGCGGCAGGTTGTGGTGGTACCCGTGGGGGGCCTGGGGCAGTCGAGCCTGTGCCCATGGCCCCGTTCCTGGCAGTTCTACGATGCGCCGTATGAGTACGAGCTGATGCTCAAGTGCCTGAACGTCGTGTTCACGTCCGTGTTCTCCCTGGAGTGCGTCCTGAAGATCATAGCCTTTGGGGTGCTGGTGCGTGTCCCCCGGCCTTTGCTGGTCTGTTGGGGGGGACCTGGGGCTCACGGGTTGGAGCCCCCAGAGCACATGTGACACTGTGGGGGCCCCACTGCCAAGCTCTGCCCCCTGGCCCAGCTCCAGGAGACAGGTGGCCAGGTTCTTCGTCTCTGGGCACCTGGCTCAGGCCCCAGCTGCCCGGGCCCGGGGGTGCCTGCATGCGCTGGCCGGTGCTGTCCACCCAGCTCGCCCACCCGCCCCTCCCTCGTCTCGGTCAGGGGCCACCTCCTGCCAGCCTTGCCTGGCGGAGCCCTCACCAGCCAGCAGCCCTAACTGCCCTTCTTTCCTCCTAGAACTACTTCAGGGATGCGTGGAATGTCTTTGACTTCGTCACTGTGTTGGGAAGTATTACTGATATTTTGGTAACAGAGATTGCGGTGAGTAGCATTTCCTGTTCCCCTCCAGGGCCCCATGGGGGTTCCCCGGCAGAGGTGTCTCCCCGGGGCAGATGGGGGCTGCTCTCTAGAGGTGGAATTTGGGAATTAGCTATTGTCCCAGCAAGTGCTTTTTCTTGGATAAGAAAATAGTTTCCAAAAAGTCTCCAAGGCTGGTGGCCTGGGAATCACCTGCGAGCCCAGGGTAACAACCAACGAGGAAGACGAGCATCTTACGTGTGTGTGTCTAATACATGTGCATCTAACAAGTTCGCACCAAAAATGTGCAAACTAAAACCAGCACACACGTGGAATGGTTTAAATACCAGGTTTGTCTTATATGAACTGGACACACTCAGCCTTTTCACACGTTCGTGGATTATATCCAAACACCGACCAAGTGCTGGGACATAAACCCCTTCCACGAATTCCAAGGACCAAAACCGTGAAGTGGGCTGTCCGAGGGCATCACGCTGAGTTGCAACAAGAGGCAAAGCATCTTACCATTCTGTCTCAGGGGAAGTCTCAGCTCTTGACAAAGTTATTTCTTAGGAAGGGCCCCCGGCAGAACCAGTGAGGAGCGGGGTGGGACTGGGGAATAGCCATGTGTTGGGGTGAGCCAATAGCCACGTGCACTGCCCAAGGGGGTCTGAGATGACAGGTCACACCTCAGAGCTGCAGCGTTGGCACCTCTGTTCCCATGAGCGCTTGGCTTAGGGTTGCACCTGTGAGGACCAGTCCTCAGACACCCCTGGCGCCCTGATGCACCCCAGGCAGGCTCCGGCAGCTGAGCTTTTGGGGGCGAGGGGGCATCAGGTGCCGTCATCACGGGGCACCCTAGCTTCACTCCCTCTGCCCACACCGCCCTGTGGGTCCACTTTACTGACTCTTCAAGGTGGTGCTGGTCACCATCTCGGGAGCGAGGGGGCTTAAGGGGAGTAAAGCCACCGTGGCTGCTTGGTCTGAGCTGACGTCTTCCTCTCATCCTTCCTCCACCCTTTCTGGAGTCCCCCGGCCTGGGGCCAGCCTTCACCTTGTGAAGTGACCCAGACCTTCACCTGGGTGGCCCCATCCCCTGCCTGCCGTGCCCTTGTGAGGCTCAGGCTGCTGTATAATGAGCACCAGCAGCTCGGACTGGTCATAGGAGCATCTGGAAAGGCCCCAGTGAGCCGCTGAGTCCAGACAGACCCCTTCCCTGCTGCGGGCTGCTGTGCCCTTCATAGTGACCAGCACCAGGCACCCCGGCTGGTGTGGCAGTTGCTCTGCCTGCCGGTCTTCTGGCACGAAGAGCCCAGAGTAACAGGGCCTGAGGTGGCACGTGGACACCGTCCTGCCCCTTCGAGTCAGGACCTGGGATTCGCCATACCGCCCTGTGGGGCAGCCATACAGCGGCCACTGGGTCCCAGCAGTGATGGTGGTAGGGCGACTCCTCCCACCCGCATTTCCTGGGTGCCAGTGTTGTGCTTATTGGGTGCCCAGGGCTGTGTGTTGGTCACCGGCTCAGCTGGAAGGACGGCACCCAGGCCACGAAGTAGTCTCCAGGCCGCCATTGTGGTGGGGCCTTGAGGCAGCTGTTCGACCTCTCAGCAGGCTGGCCGCTACTGAGGGACATGGGGGGGGGACATGCCCGTGGGTCCTGTGGTCACCTGCCCTTCACACAGCCACTGTTTGCTCTGCGTCATGTCGTGTGGGGCCGTGTCGGGAAATTCTGAGGTGCAGCCACAGGGTGTGGGTGGTCCCAGCGGAGACGCAGCACGGCCGCTCCCCGGTGAAGGGGCTCCCATGTGCAGTGTGTCATCAGGGGCTGGTTGACAGCCTCAGTGACACCCCACAAAGGCCGCATGTGCGACATTGGCCGAGGCTGGACCCCAGCTGGGGTGGCCTCCACTGCAGCCTTCGTGGTCCAGCATGTGCACGACTGGCTGTCACCCTGCGCCTGGTCCTTGGCCACCCTGCAGCCAGGGTGGCCTCGGAGGACATAGTCTGTGATACGGAGCCCTGCACATTGGGTTCACTCCCCAAACCTCAGCCTCTCCAGAGGCCCAGCCTTGCTTTAGCGCCTGCTTAGGCCCCTGTCACCGTTACTACGGGCAGCGGCTTGGTCCCCAACTGGGGCTGCTCAGGCACATCGTTCAGGCCATGAGTCACCCTGGCTGTCATGCCGTCCCTGTGTGGTTGCTCATGAGGCCCGCACCAGCGTGTGGACCACCCTCTCCCGTCAGGCCAGGTCTGAGTGTTTCTTGCAGTTGATGGGCTGGGCTGAGGTGACAGGCAGGGGGGCTGGGCCACCTGTTGTGTGACTGTGCCCCGTAGCCGTGCTCCGGCTGGGTCCGAGATGTGGCACTTGCACTGTGCAGGGCTCAGGTGGCCTACAGCACTCATTGGTGTGACAGATGCGAGGTCTCATGATTGGTCTCCGCCAGAGCACAGCAGCCAGAGTGGCACCTCTCATTGCTGGTGTCGGCTACAGGTGACATGGCCTCGCTCTGGAACCTTAGTGTCTACATGGACTGTGCGAGGGCTTTGCAGGGCTGTACCCAGTGTCCTCATGGACCACAGGCACCCCGAGCACCAGGCAGTGCTGCAGCGTGGGTCACGTGGCCCAGCGGATTTGTGTCACCTGATAAGTGGGTCACAGCAGGACCCCCTACATGGTGCTGTGTCCATAACTCACGAGGCGCAGGACTGGCTAACGTGTCTTTCACCTCGGGGGTCTGTGTCCTGGCCATCATAGTTTATACATTGGGCTTCTACCGAGAATAAGGAAAGACCATTCCAAACAGTCTTCTGGAGAGTAGAGAACGAGGGAACATTCCCTGTTTCTGTGACACTAGTGAAGTCTTGACCCCAAATTTTTAAAAGCTAGAGTGCAAGAAAGGAAGACCATAATCCACCTTCACCAGTTAACACAGATGCAAAATTCCAAACGACACGTCAGCACACCGCGTCTGACAGGACAGGAAGGAAAAGGCAGGATGGCCTCGGAAACCAGATTCCGCACCAGAAAGTGTCGCTGTAACTTAGATGACACATCACAGGAGGCCGTCGATGTGGTCCTGTGGTGGCTGCAGAGAAGACATTCAACAGTTCAAACTGTATTCATGATAAAAAGTGTTAGCAATCAGGAATTATTAACTGACGACAAGAATTGACCAAAAGTTCTCTGCAAACATCAGAGTGAAATCGGAAAGGATGACCTTCAAAATCAGGAAAGGAGACGCGTAAAAACGACTTCTTGTAAACAGTGGGCTTCAGGTCCTGGGCAGCTCAATAAACTGAGTGTCGGCTGCTTGTTCTGTTCCCAGCCGGATTCCGGCGCCTGGAGCGGTGCCTGCGCTTGGTGGGTGTCCAGCAGACGTGATGGACAAGACAGAAAAAGGAAAACAAACCTCCCAGGCTTAGAAGAGGGACAGGCAACGTTGCCATCATTCCCAAATGACATCATTATCGAACCCTAGAATAACCTAGAACTGGAGTTCAGCGGGGTAGCTGAGGTTGGGGTCACTCAGTGACTTGACGGCATTTCGTGACATCAGCAGTCCTGACAGTAAGCCTGACAAGTATGTGTGCAGGACATTCAAGTGGAAAATCCATAAACGATATTGAAAGATTGTAAAGAACACATAAACAGACGGAGTTACTTATTTGAGTTAATAAGGAATGTCAGTTCATAGATTATAGTTTCCCCCACATTGACCTGTAGATTCAATGCAATTTCAAAAAAATATATAATTTTAAAAATATATAAAATTAAATATATAATTTTATAATTTTAAAAATATATAATTTTACGTTAGCGAACTCATCCTAGAAAAAGTGCTATAGGGCTGGCTGAGTGGCACGTTGGTTAAGAGCTGGCTTCCTGAGCAGCAGGGCCCCAGTTCGGATCCCAACAGTGGCACTGCACCCTCTACAGCTAAGATGGTGAACAACAGCTCATCCTGGAGCTGGGCTGCCGGGAGTCACCGGCGATAGTGTAGGCTGCAGTGAGGCTGCAGTGGGGCTGCCATAAAGCTACCGTGAATGGCCAGCAGCCGGTGTGAGCTGCCAAGAGTCGCTGTGAGCGGCTGCCCAGTGGCCGGCGACCGATCTGCCTCACCCAGGAAGAGCGCAATAATACCAACATGGGCCAGTGAAGCAACATCCTCCACAACTAGACTGAAGAACAAAAGGACAGCAACTTGTCTGTTCCCCTTCACCGAATTCCCCAATAAAATCTTAAAAAAAAAAAGTGCTACATACCTCATTGCTGAATATCACTACGGTTACCTTCGAAGTACTCCCCTTGGGAAGCTATTCACCAACGCCAGCGCCTAGTCCACCTTTCAAAGCAATTGTGGAACTCTTTTTTTCTGGAATGGCCATCAGTGCTGTCGTTGTATTGCCCTTGATGTCCTGAATGTCATCAAAATGTCTTCCTTTCAATATTTCCTTTATCTTCGGGTGAAGAAAGAAGTCATTGGGCCAGATCAGGTGAGTAGGGAGGGTGTTCCAATACAGTTATTTGTTTACTGGCTAAAAACTCCCTCACAGACAGAGCCGTGTGAGGTGGTCCATTGTCGTGATGCGAGAGCCATGAATTGTTGGCGAAAAGTCCAGGTCATCTAACTTTTTCACGCAGCCTTTTCAGCACTTCCAAATAGTAAACTTGGTTAACTGTTTGTCCAGTTGGTACAAATTCATAGTAATTAATCCCTCTGATATCAAAAAAGGTTAACATCATTTCAAGTGGTTCAAAAACTTAGTTGTCAGACCTTGTATTTCTGTGTTTTTGAACTTTACAAGCTGCTTCCAAAATTTATAAGACGGAGCAAAGGCTCCAAATAGGACCAGACGAAGGTCCTGCTAAGGCAGGCTGCTCCTGCGGGCGGCTTACTGTAAAGGCCTCAGACTGTGTGCTGCTGGCACAGGGGGAGCCAAGCCACTGGAAGGACTGGGAGCCCGGCTCTGAGGCACTGAGTCATGTATAGAAACTTGTGTCCCCCTGCCGGCACTGCAGCTGAGCGGGAGGCAGGTCAGCAGTTTAGCCACTGACCGTACAGGGAAAAACAGACAGAGGGGCCCAGGGTCGCACCTTTCACAGAAAAATCTGTCTCAAATGGACGAAGACTTATAAACATGAGAGGCAAACCTTTAAAGCTCTTAGAAGAAAATGCAGGAGATTATCTTTAAGAACTTGGGATAGGGACTGATTTGTTAAGCAAAATATATAAAGCACCAGCTGTAACTGAAAAAAATTCTACAAAATAGTTTCTGTTTTATCACAAGACAAAAGGCCCACCCATGACCAGGGAGAGCATGTTTGCATCACATTAAAAACGCTGATGCCTGTTGTGTGCTAAGCACTGTTCTGAGTCTCAGTACAGAAGGTCAGCACCTCTGCTGTTGTGGGATTTCATCCTGGTGGCAGAGGCACACGGTCATACGGCGTGGGCACAGGGCTGGGAGGGCAAGCGGGGGCGTGAGGCAGAGCCGGCCCTGCTGCCAGAGGACACAGGAGGACTTAGGGGGTTTTGTGAAGAGGAGAGGCGCGAGCTGGCTTTTGGGAGCGGCCCTGCTCTGTTGAGAGTATACTGCAGGGCCCAGGCAGAGGCACTGGGCCACAGGCTATGGCCACTGGTTTCTCCCAGAAACACACCCCGGAGCAAGCTGTTGAAGGGGAGGTGGCCTGGGACACCTGGGAGGGAAGTGTGCCTGTCAGGGCAGGAAGCCGGCTGCAGCTGCTCTGAGTTCGGGTGCCTGTGGGAGCTCTCACTGAGCCCAGCTACCCCAGCAAGTGGCTGCAGGGGAGAGAGGCCAGCAGATTTAACGTCCCTGTCACTTGTGTCCGGGCCTGGGGAAGGCCTTGGGAGGAAAGCTGTGGAGGCTGACACTGCGTCTCGGGCCTGTGTGGCCGAGGCTGCCGAGCATGACTGCAGGGAGCTGGGTGAAGGACCCGGGCAGAGAACCTGCCGATGGGACTGAGGTGCAGCTGCAGGGGACCGGATATGAGTGTGGAGGGACGCAAGAAGGAGCACCTTTTCCGTCTCAGCTCTTGGGATGACGGGTTATCGTGCGTTGAAATGGGAAAGAATGTGCTTTGTTGGGGACGGTCGGAACGCCGCAGGTTTGGGCTTGCCTTCCGAAGGCATCACCCCGTGAGCAGTTGGACAGAGGGCCTGTAGCTCGGAGGAGAGACCCAGGCCGTGACCTGAAGTTGAAGGAGGAAAGGGGGAGCAGCCGGGTCTAGGGGGCACCAGCGTTTGGTGACAAAGGCAAGTCCAGAATGTGCCAGGCTCTTCTGGGCGTGAACAAGGAAAACACAAGCAAATGGGAAAGTGAGCAAAAGGTACAAATGGGGATTTTACACAAAACATACGTGGGCAGTTAACTAGGAAAAGATGTAATGAAAGAAACGAAAGTGCTCAAGAGCAGGGCCAGGCCGGGTGCCCTGTGACAGATGTCCCTGCACACAAGCTCCCCCCCCCACACGCGCTAAGCACCCGCGGGGCTGGTGGGAGGCCGTGCCTGGAGGAGGAGGAGGAAAGGAAGCCGTCAGCCGATCAGTGGTGGTGTCTTTTTTCCATTTGCAGTCACTTCATGTCACCTTGTGAATATGCTTTTTTTCCTTAGGCAAAAACATGACTGTCAGTTCCCACCCCCCAACTTAAAAATCAGACAGCGGTCTTACCCAGCGTCACGGGAGCGCTGCGAGCATCCAGCTGACATTCATGTCTTTGCCTGGAAATAAAAAGTGTGTCTGTGACTCATCTTTGGATTTGCATTACAAACCGGAATGCAAATGAGTGCCACTCCGTCTGTCCGCATCACCTACACATTTCACCAATACGTTGTGACGCATTTTAAGCGAAGTGGGCAAAGTTTACCAAAATCCTAAAATTGTCCAGTGAAGTATTCAGAGTTTGAATTTTGCTTGTGTTGATGACTCATTGTCTCTTTTGTTTTGTTTTCTGTTCTTGATTTGCCTTAACCTACCTGCTGAATCACGCCATCCAACCAACACACAATGCGAAAACCATGCCTCCGTCTGTGTGTTGCACCTCTGCTCAAAACCCCCAATTTGTAAATAACACGCAATGTCCATCCATGACAACACCACGTGTAGGAAACGGTTGGTTTCGTGACTTTAAACAGTTCTTAAGTTCCTTGCTTTGCTTGCTGTGCTTGTCCCCTGAGGTGTGTCCGAGCCTGGCTGCACTCACCACTCTGGCCTTGTGCACTGTCCCCATGTCCCAGCCTGAGGGCCCAGCAGGGGCTCTGGGGGCCTCTTAGGAACCACTGATAGCGGGAACTGGCCTTCGGCCAAGCGAGGAGGTAGGGGCTTCTGAGTGAGGCGTGGGGAACGTGCCTCTGGTTCTCCTGGACTGGCTCAGAGCCGGGGAGGCTTACGGGGCACGAGTGTGTCCCCAATCCCTTCAGAGACCGTGGTTTCTGCCGCACGGCCCTCTCCCTCCTGCTCTCCTCATCTCCGAACAGACACAGTAGGTTCTGCTCTCCCCAGTGGCCTACACCCAAGTGCCCAGAGTGTCCGCCTGCACGGACCTTTGTGGTGGGGTCCGGCCTGGGGCCCAGGGTGGGACGACTAGAGACTTTGTCGCATCGTCCAGCAGGGGTCACGTGAGGCCTGACCACATAGAAAGAGGGATCTGCCCCAAGGACTGCGGCTCAGGGCACCTCGTCTGGGCATCGCTGTGCAGGGGTGCGCCCTTGGTCGCATGTGTGGTGTGAACCAGGCCCCCCTTCCAGGTCTCTAGGAACATTCAAGAGGAGGGCACAGATTTGGGGAGCAGATTAAACAGGCTGTGACTGGAAAGCCGCACGATCTAGCAGACATTTGAGATTCCTGTTACAGAAAATGGACGTTTGTGACAAAGGGTTTCATGGTTGCAGCAGAAAGGCTGTTCTGAGAAAACTCAGGCTGCACAGCCTGCCTCGTGTCTCCCCGACCGGCCCAGTGCGTGGGAGCAGCAGCCCTCCGCACCCCTGCTCGCTCCCGGCGTGTGTCACGCCTGCTGTCCTGTGCGTGTCGTGTGCGCCTGGTTTCCCTTCCTCCGCCATCGGCCCCCACAGGCACGGAGGCTGAGTAGGAGAGTGGTGTGGCCCGTGCACGGCTGGCCCTGGCCCCAGTGGATGTGACAGGTCAGAGGGAGCCCTCACCGTTCTGTGTCCCTGACCAGAGGCAGGGACATGCTTGGATGCAGGTGATGCCCTTACTCACCTTTGTGGGGCAGTTTCACACCTCAGTGTGCATTTCAATCCCCTTTTCAGGGCACACACAGTGTCCTAATGTCTCCATCCTGTGGAGGAGGGAGCTGGGGCTCAAAGGAGCTAGGGACTAGGTTGCCCTCACGGTCTGGGGGTGCAGTGATGCCCCTTTGGGTCCTCCAGGCCCCTCCTGACTCAGGCGGCTGCTTTGCAGTAGGTGTAGCTACACCTAGGTGCCACAAGAGCCATGGACGCTGGGAGGAGGGCAGGCTGTGCCCACCCCAAACGGTTGGCTGAGGCTAGAGGGGACTGTGCACAGCCACGGGACAGCGGGGGCGGAGGGGGGTGCTGCCTGCCACGTGCTTGCCCCCTGTCCTCCCGCACGCAGCTCACACGATGGTGCCTGTAGGCTCCCGCCCTAGGTGCAGCCACCGTGCGCTCAGCCTGTCATGCTGCCCTTCAGCATCTGTGCCGCTGTCACCAACTGTCCTCGTGTCTGTCTCGGGCTGTCTGTGTGTTGCATCCCCATCCCCCTCCTGAGTGCCCACCAGAACCCAAGAAGGACGCCTGGGCGGAGGGGTAGGGATCCGAGTCTCCGCAGGAAGCAGGAAGGGGCTTGCTGAGGCCACCACTCCTGTGTAGGTGACTGGTTCCAGCACTGCCTTCCTCACCTTATCTGTGTGCTGTCCCTCCTCTGCTGCCACAAAGCCTACATTTTCCCAGTGTCATCAGGAAGTCTTGCCTGTGCCAGCTGGCCTGAGCGCTGTGCAGGGTCACACCCAGAGACCCCTGCCGCCTTTGTGCGAATCTGGGCCACACGACGGTTCCTGTGCCCACTGACACTCCTGAATCTCGTCCTGCCCACAGCTTCCACATCCTGCCAGTGAGCTGTGCCCCGTGCAGCTCAGTCTCTCAGAAGCAGAGACTGCCCAAGTCCCCAGCCTACCTGCTGGGAACCAAGGCAGCCTGCCCCAGAGGGTGGGGACGCTTCAGGGAAGTGGCAGACTCTGTCCTTGGAAACAAGAATGGGACTGTGTCCACCAAAGGCCTCCCACCCCCGCCTGCACTGTCCCGTTCACTGTGCGTGTCCTCTCTCGTTTGACCACTGGGTTCGGCCACAACCTGTTGGACCCTGAGCTGTTAAATGCTTTAAGACATCAGAGTGGCAGGGAGCTGTGTGTGGGCACCTGGCCTCGAAGCAGCCAGAGGACGGGGAGCCAGTCACGAGCGCCCCGTCTGCTCAGGGACATGGCGCAGAAGCATGCTCCTGATTCGGGGAACCCCAGGCACAGTGGGAGCCCCACTCCTAGGTGGTCTGTGCAGTCCCAGCACACTTGTCTCAAATCTGGGATGACAGCAGGGCTGGGTGTCCTGTCCCAGGCTTGGAGCAGGGACCTGTGTGTGGATCGCAGAGGTGGCTTCCATGCCCTGAGCGGCAGGACCACCAACACTTACCTCCCATGGCGACTGCTCTGCAGTGGCCCCAGAGAATGCATTTGCCCTCTGTGGGGTCCCCGGCGGGCAGGGCTTTGCTGGCTGTGGGGAGAGGATGGGTGTGCCACCGGCCTGGCCCGGGTCCCTGCACAAGCGCTCAGTGGACAAGCAGTCCTGCCCAGCAGCTGGTGGTCAGTGTTGGAGGCCCAGCCTCAGGAGATACGCAGGCTCTTCTCCGTGCCGCCCCTTGTGTGGTGGAGGCCGAGAGTAGGCAGGGCTTTCCGATCTGCTGCATGACGACCCCCGTGCAGTGATGAGCTTCCCCTGTGGAAGGTTTTCTGGTGGCCGATGGCCGCTTAGACTGTGGAGCCAGGACTGTTTCAATCTCCTCTCTGACCCACCTTCTGCCGGACCGCGGCGGTGCGGGGAGAGGCGGGTGGGCAGTGGTTCTAGGCCTTGGGGAGGCGGGCCTCAGAGGTCAGAGGTCACCCTTGTTCCTGCAGAACAACTTCATCAACCTCAGTTTCCTGCGCCTCTTCCGCGCTGCCCGGCTCATCAAGCTGCTGCGCCAGGGCTACACGATCCGCATCCTGCTCTGGACCTTCGTGCAGTCCTTCAAGGTGAGGCCCCTCGGCCCCAGCGGCCCCTCCCGCAGAAGGCTGGGGGTCCTGTTGGCACCTGCTGTCCTGTTGTAGTTTGCGAGGCCATCTCAGGTTACCCAGAGGCCATTTTGTTAATGCTCACAGAACTGGATGGGTGTCCCAGCTCTGACTTTCAGATGAAGAAACTGAGGCAGTCACTTGGTGGTCAGTGAGGGTGGCTCTGGACCGGCCACCGTCCCCACCCCCGCTGACCTGCCCCATGTGTCTCCGCAGGCCCTGCCCTACGTGTGCCTGCTCATCGCTATGCTGTTCTTCATCTACGCCATCATCGGCATGCAGGTGGGCGCGCTGCCCCGTGGGGGTGCATGGGTTCCCATCCCCTGGGCAGAGGGCCAGTGATCGTGGGCATGATGCGATAACTGTGTAGATTGACACTACCAGGTATTTCTGGGAGCCAGGTACTATTGTAAGCGCTTTATGAACTTAATCCTCAGAAAGACTGTTCCGTGAGTGAGGGCACCGAGGCACCAAGAGCTTGGGGCTCTGGACCCGGGTCACCCGCGGGCATACGCACCACCTTGCTCCAGAGTAGGGACCCGGTGGTGCTGGGCCATGCGGTGCGGGAGTGTTGGCACTCGGCATGGCGCCCAGTGGCCTGAAGAGCAGCGGTCAGTCATCCTTAATCCGGCAGCAATTCAGAAGAACAGTCTCCCTGATCCTTTACAGAAGATTATACTCTCCAAAGAAAATAGTCAACAGGGTCTTTTCACATCGCTGTATTTGTCAAATTTAGCTTGCATAACTTAGAGTGTCATTATTTTGCAAAAACACATAAAAGACACAAGGCAGTAGCCCGGTTATAAACCTTTGGCATCTGGCCACATTCCAAAAGTAGGGCTCCGAGATGGACCCGAATCTGAACGCTCAGTGGGAGAAGCCAGTGTCTTAAAGGTTAGCTGAAAACTTATTTTCTTTAAACTCTCAGGGATTGAAAAGTTCTCTTGCTTTAAAATTGGCTGGGCTCTGGTGCTATTTAAAACACATATTTTTTCTGCTTTGGTCTGTGGATGTGCAAAATCACATGTGACACTGATCTTTGTTTGTGGTGGATGTCTGACAGTTCATGAATTTTTTTCAGCTGGCTTCCAGATTTTAAGCTAAGTACCGTTACTGACTCATCTGCATTTCTAACCTTGAAAAACATCACTTAAAATGTGTAAAAAGCCCATTGTGATGTTTGCCCAGAAATTCATAAAGAAACTTTCAAGTGATCTATCAGAGCCATTACCAATATAACTACTGCTTTGGAATCGCTGATGAGAGAAACAACTTTAAAATGCATCCACGGGCCGGCCGAGTGGCTCAGTTGGTTAAGAGCTCACTCAAGAGTTTGAGCTCTGAGCAACAGTGGTTCGATGCCCGCCCCGAGCTGAGCTGCTGCTGAACTGCCAACAGGTGGCAGGATGGCTCAGCTAAAAAAATAATAATAATAAATTAATTAATTAAATAAATAAATAAAATGCATCCTGTCTTAAAGGAGAGCCCGGAAACCTGGCTCTGGGTCCCACTGTTCACAGTCATTCCAACTTGCTCAGAGCCAGGCCAGCACCCGCCGAGCTGGGGCCATGGAGCCACCGCGAGGATTCTGCTGACCCGGGAAGGCACATTGTTGCCAAAGCGGAAGCGCTGGCCGCAGGCACCTGGAGGACCAGCAGCTCAGCCTGCAGCCTTTTCCTCCGTTTCAGGTCTTTGGGAACATTGCCCTGGACGACGGCTCCAGCATCAACAGGCACAACAATTTCCGGACGTTCTTACAAGCCTTGATGCTGCTGTTCAGGTGTGTTGTTGGCCAGGTTGGCCGGACCCAGAGTCTCCTTTGTGTAGGCTGGAGAGGGTGCAGCCGACGAGTGGGCCCCCTCCACGCCAGGTCACACTGCTTCCTCAGGGGACCGTTGCAGTTTCTCTCCTCTTCCTACTGTCCCTTCCTGAGCACTCCTGGGCCATGTGACAAGTTAGGGGAAGCCCACGAGGTAGCAAAGCTGAGAGACCCAGGCCAGGCCGGCGCCCCCCACCTGGTCGCAGCCAGAAGGCCCTCCGTGAGGTCAGGGAGGACAGAAGCTGCCCAGAGGGGCCTTTGTGTGCTGGCCTCGAGCTCCCCACCTGCTCCCTTACCCGTTACCAGGTCTGTGAGGTCAGGGAGCTGCCCTTGACAGTGTAGCTTCTCTGTGACCCGAGATCCCATCTGGCCAGAGCTGCTGGTCTGAACGCACGTCCACTCGCCACTGTCGCTCATGGGGGCTGCAGTGCCCTGGCTCTGGGGTGCAGCCAAGCCAGGCCCCTGCATGGAGCCTCGAGGGCACACAGCTGTGTCAGGCTCAGACGCCTCCCTAGGAGGCATCTTGGCACCAGCTGTTGTCCTCTGTGGACTGGGGCTGTTGACCGTCTAGGCCTGAGGACAGATTTGGGGCAGAGGGGACGGGGTGACTATGTCTTCCCACCTGCAGAGTCTCCCCCATGTAGCCAAGCCCACCACCACTACGAGGAGGGAGAAAGAGCCCTGCTCAGGGGCTGTGGTGGAAGGCTACTGACATCAGGCTGCTGTGGGCGGGATCTGCCCTGGGGATGGGGCTCGGGGTCCTCTGAGAGGAGGGTGAGCTCAGGCCTAGCCTGCTCTTCCGAGCTGTGTGCAGAGGGCTTTCTGACTTGTGTGCTCTGCCTCAGGTGAACAGGCACCGTCAGGCTTACACGTTCCCCAGACCGCCATTTTTCTGGGTTTCCACTGAGACCTTAGTTCTGTTTCTTCACGTAGTAACGTCCTGCCTTGTGCACAATAGGTGTGAGGCAGGCCTGTGACGTCAGTCTTGGTTTTGAGCCTTGGTCTCGAAGACCCGTCTTCCTCCCTGACCTTTGTCACATGCGAGCACCCTCATCAGCCGGGCCTGGCACAGGCCGAACTGGCCACCCCAGCCCCAGGAAGCCCCCTACCCCCAGCCATCATCCAGGGGAGGGGGCCCAGCTTCTGCCCAGGTGCAGAGGGCCCTTTGGGGGGTGCTGCTGAGGGTGTGGCCAGAGTGGACCGAGCGGGGCCAATGTAGGTGTTGAGGTCAAGGAGAGAGCAGGTGTCAGTCCTCGGGGGTTATGGGCTGTCATGTGAATTTTGGCTTTTGCAGGGAGTGAGGGGTCATTGAGAGAAGTGACAAGGTCTGCCCTGTAGTTAGTGGACATACCGGGCTGCTGGGCAGGGCAGAGCAGGAAGCCCAGTCGGGATGCTGTTGGAACAGCTCCAGGGTGTGGTGACTGTTGCTGGGTCCCAGGGGTTGAGAAGGGGTGAGTCTGACTGTTCTTCGGAGGTAGATGAGCTAATGAACGGGATGTTGCGAGAGAGGGAAGCAAGGATGACAGCAGAAGTTTTGGGCTGAGCGGCTGGAAAGATGGAGTTACCATTGTTGGATGGAGGACAGGATCCCATGTTGGGAGGTCAGAAGCCTGGATGGGTGTCGGCTCTGGGGCACCACATGTCCCCAGGCACTCACCACGGTGCCGACACTGCTGGTGCAGTGGATCGTTACAGTAATGAGTTCTTTCAAGGCGATCGATGTGGAAATCTAACGCCAGAGCAGCCATGTGGCACTCAGACCTTACACATGTGTGACTTCTCCGTGGGACAAACCCACAAGAGGGGGCACCCTTGACTCCACTCTCCTGCGTGTGCTGCCAGTCCTGGGCCACCCTCGTGGGCCTCACAGCTCCGCCCTTTTTTTCAGGAGTGCCACTGGAGAGGCCTGGCACGAGATCATGCTGTCGTGTCTCAGCCAACAGGCCTGTGACGAGCACGCCAACGCCACTGAGTGTGGGAGTGACTTTGCCTACTTCTACTTCGTCTCCTTCATTTTCCTTTGCTCCTTTCTGGTAAGTCCTAGTCACCATACCCAGCGTGGCATCTGTGTCTCCTTTCTTAGTCCACATCGGGCCCTCTGTGTTTCTTGCTGGCCCCTGACTCTGATTCATGTCACACGACAAGCCGATTCTGTGTCGATAGCCTTGTTTCCTCAGAGATGATGACCTTCTTCACCCTAAAGGGGCCACTCAGCCGTGAGCTCCTGGGGGCCCTGCCTTGACTTCCTTGGAAAGGGATAGGTTTCCATGGGGGCACTTGTCCCTTAGCTTTCGGCTGCTACAGGGACTTGCACTGTAGTGATGGGACACAGAGAAGCAGTATTCCACCAGTGTGCCTGGGAGAGCCACTGGAAACCAGTGGGATTCTGTCAGGAGGTCTGTGGGCTGGGTCCCAGGAGTCTGGGTTTTATGCAAAGTCAGCAGGAGCTTCTGGGACACTGTGATCAGGGGCGTGACACCATCTGCCTGATGTTTCTGAACCTCACTCTGGTCAGGAGAGCCGTGGAGTGAGCAGGGAGACAGTTGAGGTGACGGTGGCCAGAGAAGGGCCCGAGTGAGTGAGTTGGGTGGAATGGGCTGCATTCTAAAGGTGGAGCTGACACGCTTGATGACCGAACGTGAGCATGAGAAAAACAGAGGAGACAGCTGTGTCCACGTGACGTGTTGTTGGGAGGCGATGTAAGGTGATGACGACTGACAGTTGTTCCTCGGAAGTGGACAAGTAGAGGCCATTGGTGACCTTGACAAGAACGGGTTCTTTGCGTGGTGGGACCAGAGCCTTCCTGCAGCAGGTTCCAGAGCTAACGAGAGGCGAAGAACACAGTGGGAGCACACAGCCCCTGAACAGTGGGCACGCTGCGCAAACACTTGAGGCTCACGGTCAGAACTCCTGAGCAGGGCCATCCAGCACAGGGTGAACTTTTTCCCAGCCACGTTCACTACGTGGCACCAAGGACAGAGAACTGTATTATCCGGATTCGGGGTTTCCCAGACCAGTCTAAGGAGGGAGAGAAGGGTGTGTGTGTGAATGATTTTAGTACTGGATATGGGGTCAAGCTGAGGGCAGAGGGAGGTGAGGGCAGGGCCATTGGATCAGAGGTCCTCGTGTGAACAGATGTTTGGGGGTACACTTATGAGAGGCAGTAAGCCAGAAGCACAGAGGAGGTGTGCAGAGTGGGCCTCTGAGGTGGAGACTGTGGAGGCAGTAATGGTAACGTCCATCGGTGGTCACTGGTGATGGCCAGGGTTAGCTGTAGTCACAGGGTCAGAAGCGGAGAGGATGGTGGGTGGGCTGGGAGGTCACGGGACCGAGACGCCAGGCAACAGCTGACCCATATCTGTGGGCATTAGCAGCAGGATTGATGATGACAGTAGAAGTTTCATCCCAACAACCAGCCAAGCACCAGGTCTTCCGTGAGGAGGGAGAGCACGGCCTCATCAGGAACACCGGCGAGCGGGCCGAGCTGTGGTCTTTAGGGCTGGGCGGTGCCACATTACAGTGCAAGAAAGAAGAACGGAGGGTGTTCAGGATGCAGATGCAAGGGTTTCTGCTGATGGTGGACGGTGAATTTCTAAGGGGGCTGTAGGAGGTTGGGCTGGTTGGGAAAGGTGTGCATTGGAGACACGTGAGCTTGCATGTAGATAAAGGAATTCAGAAAAATCTATGAAACTGTTTTACCAGTTGCCAGAAACCAAGGAGAGGATGTGCACATTGGGGTCGTCCCCAGAATCCTCAGAAGATCCCTTGTGGGCAGCGGGGAGGGCAGACTTGCTGGAGAGTCACAGTCTTGTAGGTGGTGGGGGCATTGGTATCCGTGCATCTCAGAGACCTCTGATGCTGCAGAGCAGCCAACCCACCACCCTGGCCTCACCACGCTCCTGGCTGCAGAGATGAGGTTCCACCGAAAGCTAAATTCATGATGACACATCACCCACGGGGCCAACGTTCCCCATACGTGTTCAGGATAACGTGAGGAATCATCCCTCTGGAGTTAGCTGTCACTCTTCTCCACAGAAGTGGGGGTTTGGTGGCTTCTGTCCTCTGTATCTTTTTCCCGTGGGCCTCCCCCACAGCTCGTTGTTGACACTGGTGCCTTTTCCTTGACTAAAGCAGACAAGGGATAAGGGCTGCAAGCACAGCCCTCCTGGCACCTACCTGGCAGGTGCAGATCTGTTGGGTAACTCATGCTTTGAAGCACTTGGGTCTGGTTTGGTCTGGCAGAGAAGTGACAGTGGGAAAAATGGAACTGTGATTTTGGGGATAGGTGGCAGGACTAGGTTGGGGGGGATTTAGTCACCTCGATTGGTGTAGGGACATAGACGGAATCATGGAAAACGAGGTTGGTGACACCTGCTTATAATTACTGAATTAGATTGTGTGCAGAGTCCCATGAATGCTTTAAGTTATTCAGTCTCTGTCACAGTCTTGATATTGATGTTGTTATTATCACAATGAAGAAATGGACGCTTAGAGATGTAAACTACTTTGGTCAGCCTGTGCTTAGAACCCAGGCTGTCGAAATGGACAAATTCTAGAATGATACAGATTACCATAACTGACTCAAGAAGAAATAGAAAATCCAAATAGACCTATAACAAGTAAGGAGTTTGAAACATCCCCCAAAAAATAAAGTCCAGGACCAGGTGGCTTCACTGGTGAATTTTATCAAACATTTAAAGAAGAATTAGTACCAATCTTCCTCAAACTCTTCCCCCAAATTGAAGAGAACACTTCCAAACTCATTCTATGAGGCCAGCATTACCTTGGCACCGAAACCAGACAGTACCAGAAAAATATTGATGCAAAAATCCTCAATAGAATGTTAGCAAACCAAATTTAATAGCATATTAAAAGAATTATATACCATGATCAAGTGGGATTTATTCCTGGAATGCAAGGATAGTAATACACCACATTAACAGAAAGAAGGGAAAAAATGTGTGGTCATCTCAATTGATGTAGAAAAAGCATTTGAAAAAATTCAACCTCGTTTCTTAATAAAAGCACTCAATAAAGTAGAAATAGAAGAAAACTACCTCAACCTAATAAAGGCCACATATGGAAAACACAGCTACCATCATACTCGATGAAAACCACAAAGGTTTTCTTCTAAGATCAGGAACAAGGTAGAGATACCTGCTTTTGCCATTTCTGTTCAACATAGTACTGGATGTCCCAGCCAAATCACTTAGTCAAGAAAAAGAAACATAAGGTATCCAATTTAGAAGGGAAGAAGTGTAATCATCTCTTTTAGCAGGTATGATCATATATGTAGAAAATCCAAAATATACCACAAAAAAACCAGTTTGAACTAATAAATGAAGCAAAGTTAAAGGATACAAAATCAACATGTAAAAATCATCATGTTCTATACATTAACGATGAACAGTCTGAAAAGATTAAGAAAACAGTTCTATTTACAATGACATCAAAAAGAATAAAATACTTAAGAATAAAGTTAACCAAGAAGGTGAATGATTTGGACACTGAACACTACAAAACATTCCTGAAAGTAATGAAAGAAGACCTAATTAAATGGAAAGACATCCCTCTTCGTGGTTTGGAAGATGTAATATTGTTAAAATGTCAGTACTGTCTAAAGCGATCTATAGATTAAATGCAATCCTTGTCAAAATCTGTGGTTTTTAACTTTTTTTTACAGAAATAGAATAGAAAAATCCATCCATTCATATGGAATCTCAAGGATCCACAAATAGCCAAAAAAAAAAAAAGTTGTTTAAGGTCTCACACTTGCTGATTTCAAAATTTACTTCAAAACTTCAGTAATAAAAACAACATAATAGTGGCATATAGACAAACATATAGAATGATGACATAGAATAGAGAGCCCAGAAATTAACACTCATATATATGGTCAAAAGACAAGGCTTCCAAGACAATTTAATGAGGAAAAGATAAACTTTTCAACAAATGGTGCTGGGAGAACTGGATAGCCATAAGCGAAAGAATGAAGTAGGACCCATACCTTACACCATATACAAAAATTAACTCAAAATCCATCAAAGATCTAAATATAAAACCTAACACTATGCAAGTCTTAGAAGAAAACATAGGTGGCAAATCTTACGTTATTTTTGGCAAAGGATTCTTAGATTTCACACCAAAATCATGAGCAACAAAAGAAAAAAATAGATAAATTAGACTACTCAAAATTAAAACTTTTTGTGCATCGAAGAACACTGTCAACTAAGTGAAAAGGCAAACCAAGGAATGTGATAAAATATTTGTAAATAATGTATATGATAAGAGGTTAATATACAGAATATACAAATAACTCTTACAATTCAACAACAGAAAGACAACCATACAAAAATGGGCAAAGGTCTTAAGTAAACATTTCTCCAAAGATAATGTACAAATGACCAGTAAGCACATGATAAGATACTCAACATCAACATTTCAGGAAATGCCAATGCGAGCCTCAATGAGATAATACTTCATATGCTTTATGATTGCTGTTAGAAAAAACAAGAACAAAACAAAACAAACTAAGTGTTGGCGAGGATGTAGAGAAATTGGAACCCTGGTGCACTGCTGATGGGAATGTGAAATGGTACAGCCACTTGTGAAAAACAGTATGGCAGTTCTGCAAAAGATGAAAAATAGAATTACAGCGTGTTCCATCAATCCCACTTCAGGGTGTATAGCCAAAAGACTTGAATGCAGGGACTGGAAAAATTTTCTTTTTTTTTTTTTTAAGATTTTATTGGGGAATTGGGGAAAGGGAACAGACAAGTTGCTGTCCTTCAATATTCGGTGTGGAGGGTGCCAGTCGCCATCTGGCTGCCTTTCGGCAGCTTGTGGCCTCTAAGCTCAAGGTGCTGTGTTCAATCGTAGTTGCAGGTGGGCATAGCCACCATCCCATGTGAGAGTTGAAACGGCAGCCTTGTTGTTAAGCGTGCACGCTCTATCCACTGAGCCATCCACGCGGCAGCTCAGCTCAAGATGTCGAGTTCAGTCTTAGTTGTGGGCAGGCATAGCCGTCCATCAAACAGGCAGTCTTGTTGTTACACCAGNTTCAGTCTTAGTTGTGGGCAGGCATAGCCGTCCATCAAACAGGCAGTCTTGTTGTTACACCAGCTGAGCCATCCTGCCACCTGTTGGCAGTTCAGTGCCAGTTCAGCTTGGGCGCAGCTCACTGGCCCATGTGGGAATCGAACCGGTGACCCTGTTGCTCAGAGCTCGCACTCTTGAGCAAGCTCTTAATCAACTGGGCCACTCGGCCGGCCACTGGAATAAATGTTTATACACACATGTTCATCGCAGCATTATTCGCAATAGCGAAAAGGTGAAAGCAGCCAAAGGTCCATCAACAGGTGGATAAACAGAATGTGGTATGAACATTATAAGGGAACATTGTTCAACCTTAAAAAGGAAGGCAGTTCTGACACATGCTACACTATGAATGAACCTTCACGACATTATGCTAAGTGACAGAAGCCAGTTGTAAAAGGAAAAATACTGTATGATTCCTCTAATATGAGGTACCTAGAATAGTCAAAGTCATACAGACAGAAAGTAGAATGGTGGTTGCAAGGGACGGGGGAGGAGATTGGGGCGTTCATGTTTAATGGGTGTGGAGTTTCAGTTTGGGAAGATGCTAAAGTCCTGTAGGTGGATGATGGTGATGGTGGCACGACAGTGTGAGTGTACTTAATGCCACTGCCTTATACGCCTAAAAATGATGGTTAAGATAATAAGTTTTTAATGTATTTTTACTACAATATAAAATGATACTAAAAAAAGAATAAACATAAACCCTAGTCATTCTTCCAAAACATAGAAGAGAAGGTAACACTTCCTAGCACATTCTCTGATGCCAGTATTACCCTGATACTAAAGGCGGACGAAGATGCCAGAGGAAAACTGCACACCAATCCTGAACAGAATATTAATTTCAACAACACATTGAAAGGATTATACACCATGACCAAAGGGGATTCATCTCAGGAATACCAGGATGGCTCAACATATGGAAATCAATCCTGTAATGCACCACGTAGTGGCTCAGTTGGTTAAGAGCTCCCTCAAGAGTGCGAGCTCTGAGCAGCAGCAGTTCGATGCCCGGCCCGAGCTGACGTGCTGCTGAGCTGCCAGCAGGTGGCAGGATGGCTCAGCTAAAAAAACAAACGAACAAACAAAAAACCCGCATGACCATTATCTCAATCGATGCAGAAAAAGCATCACCCTTTCATGATAAAAACACTTAAACTAGGAATGAAATGGAACTTCCTTAACATGAAGAAAACCCATAGCTGACTTCATACTTCAGCGAAAGACCGAAATGTTCCCCTCCCCCTCCAATTCCCCAATAAAATTTTCAAAAAAAAACCAACACTTTTGTGCATCAAAAGATATTGTCAATAATGTGAAAATACAATCTAAGGAATGGGAGAGAATATTTACAAGTCACCTATTTTATAAGAGCTTACTCTCCAAAATATATAAAGAACCCTTATAGCTCAACAACAAAGAGATAAGCATATAAAAATGGGAAAAGATTCATAATAAACATTTTTCCAAAGAAGATTTGTAAGTAGCCAGCAGGTATATGAAGACACTCAACATCTTAGATCATTGTGGAAATGCAAATCAAAAACCACAATAAGATACTACTGTACACCCAGTAGAAAGACTAGAATAATAATTTTTTTAAAAAACAAGGAGGGCCGGCTGAGTGGCGCGATGGTTAAGACCTGGCTTGGGACGCCAGAGGACCCCGGTTCGGATCCCACATGTGAGGGCCAGTGACACTGCCCTCCACAGCTAAAACGCTGAACAACAGCTCACCTTGGAGCTGGGCTGCCGTGAGTCGCTGGCAACGGCGTAGGCTGCAGCCCCTGTGGCAGTGGATTGCCATGGGCTACTGTGTGTAGCCAGCAGCCAGCGTGAGCAGCCAGCAGCCAGCGTGAGCGGCCAGCAGCCAGCGTGAGCGGCCAGCAGCCAGCGTGAGCGGCCGTCCAGAAGCCAGCGACTGATCTGCCTCGCTGGGAAGAGCGCAGTGATGGTGCAACTTGGGCCAGTGAAGCAACGTCCTCCACAACTAGACTGAAGAACAAAAGGACAGCAACTTGTCTGTTCCCCTTTCCCCAATTCCCCAGCACTGTTTCCATCCCCCAATTCCCCAATTAAAAAAAAAATCTTTAAAAAAAACCACCAAAATCCAAGGAAAATAGCAAGTATTGGCAGGACATGGAGAGACAGGAGGGAATGTAAAACACAGCAGCTTCTGTGAAAAACAGTTTAGACGTTCCCAAACAAGTAAGCATTACCATGTGACCCATCAAGTCCACTTCGAGAAATGAAAAGGCATGTCCACACAAACTTGTACACGAGTGTTCACAGCAGCATTAACTCTAACAGCCAAGAGGTGGAAGCAGCCCACTCGCCCGTCAGTGGATGGGTGGACAGCAGACTGGTCTGTACCTGTCAGGGTGGCATTCAGCCATAAAAAGCAATGAAACTCTGACACACACAGCAAAATGGTGAACCTCAAAAACACCATGGTCAGTGAAAGACGCCCGACATAAAAGGTCATATATTGTGTGATGCCTTCTGTGTGAAAGATCCCAAGCAGACAAATCTATAGACAGAAAAGAGGTTGGTGGTTGCCAGGGAGTGGGAGGAGAGTCTTCTGGGTCATCACATATTTGGGAACTGGGGAGCCGGGGGTCGCACAGTGTGGTGAATACACTGAATGTCGCTGAGCTGTATGCTTCAAAATGGCTAATCATGTGCTGTGTGAGCTTCACGTCAATTACAAAGAAGGAGAACCGGAGCTGTGGCCTCCTGTGAGCAAACTGTTAACTCCACAGTCACCACCTAGAGGGGACCAGGACGGGGATGCAGAGTTGGGGAGGGTGAACCCGGACGCCAGCCGGACCGTGGATGTGAGAAGATGGGGCAGTGGAACCAGTGCAGAGGACTGTGTGTCGGTCAGGGTCAGGCCTGCGGTCGAGGCTGCTGCTGGGGGCTGGGGGCGCAGTGCAGAGGCGGGCGAGCTGTACACCACCCTGCTCGCGCACACAGGCCGGCTGGACGGTGAGGATGGTGGGGCGGGCCGGCTGGGGGCGCTCCGTGTCACCTCTCTTCCGTCCTGCCCTGCAGATGTTGAACCTCTTTGTGGCCGTCATCATGGACAACTTCGAGTACCTCACGCGGGACTCTTCCATCCTGGGGCCCCACCACCTGGACGAGTTCATCAGGGTCTGGGCCGAGTACGACCCGGCTGCGTGGTGAGCGAGCCGCCTGCTCTGGGTCCTGGGGGCTGGTCCAAAGCCATGGATCTCATGGCAGCGCTGGGGGGCTCAAGGCACGTTTCAAGGGAGCGTCCCCCTCGGGTTTGGCTGGGTCCAGGGCTCCACTGTGCCCACGTGGGGCGGTGCTGGCTCCCCCTTCCGGCGGCTGGCTCCCCCTCAGCCTCCGTGCGCTTGGCTGCAGCTCCCCAGGCTGAAACCCTTCTCTGAGACCCACAGTCCGGCTCTCAGGCTGCTGCCAGGGCTCGGGGCACGTTTTCAGGGCTTTGGAGGGACTGTGAGTTCTCACTGAGTGGCAGTTCACTGTCTTCTCCCAGGACCATTTTTATGGCCTCAGAGAGCCGTGTCATTGTCCTGACTCGTCACCACAGGTGCCCCGCCATGGCCAGAGCTGGTGCTGGAGTTCACAGGCTCAGGGCCTTCCCAGGTTCTCTGGTCAGCAGAGATAGTCATGTTGGAGGGAGGGCTGACCACGCCCAGGCCTGGTCCTTCTCAGGCAGGATTGAGACTCATTCTAGAAGGGTCATCCCAACTGGTCTAAAGACAGGCTGCCTTCCCGGGCACACGTTTTCCAGAAGAGATTGTGTTGCGGGAAACAGATCGTTAAGGATGGGACTTGGACTAGTGGGCAAAGGCAGGTCAGTGCAGGCCTGCGAGAAGGGGTGCTACCCCATCTCTGTGAGCAGCAGGCCCAGTATGTGCCCGGTCAGCCAGGGGCAGCACACATAGGAGGTGGGACTCAGGCCACACTGTGGCTTTCCCCAGATCATTTCCACACGGAGTGTGATGGGTGGACTGGAGGCGCGTCCCCGTGACGCCCACTGCGAGTGGTGTCTCGCTCATCTTTACGTTCATCTGTGTGTGCGGCCAGCGTCCTGGGCACCTGCACGGGCTGGGGACCGGGAATGTGGTCTCCACGTGTTCGGCCACCCGGGTCCTGGGAGGAAAGAGGAACCGGCGGCTGAGGCAGGGTGTGTGTGAGTCTGTCAGGAAGCGGCCCGAGCTGGAGTGGATGGGCTGCAGAGAAGGGTGGGAGCGGTGGCGACGGGGATGGAAACTGGCTTTGTCTGGCTGGCGAGGACAAAGCGTAGCAAAGGGACTGAGAGGACGGCTAGGCTAGGTGGAGAAAGGCCTTGGAATCCGGGCTACACAAGAGCTTCGACATTGTTTTATGGACAGTGGGGATAGCTCTGCAATCAGCCTGCTGGCATCTGAGGGGCTGATGGCAGAAGAGAGATGAGCCGAGGGCAGGCCGACAGTCGGGGCTGCCCCCCTCTTCTCCCCGCGCTTTTGGGGTGGTCCCTTGTGCTGAGACTGGCACGCTCTGTGGGTGAGGCCAGAGCCAGCTGCCTCTTTATTCCCTTTTCCCTGGAAGTAAATGCCACCCAATTTGGAGCTGGTGGGATAAGGGGACACAGTGCAGCAGAGAGAGGCGTCCCTGCAGGCCAGGGGTTCCTTAGCTGGACCCCAGAGTCCAGGAGAGGGCAGTGTGTTAAGGGAGGTGGGGACAGTCGGGAGAGCTCCTGGGGGCTCAAGCACCCATGCAGCTGGGGCAGGCGCTGCCAGGCCCGCGGTCCTCGTCCGTAAGGAATGTCTCCCTCTTGGGCAGCTCTGGGACCTGGCGAGGGCCATGCCTCCCCGGGAGCCCCAAGCCCAGGGCCGCGGCAGGGGGCTGCCTGTCCAGCGCCCTGGCCCCACCCACAACTCGCGGCACAGGCTGGGTGGGGGCAGGGTGGGGTCACCGTGGCCTGGAACCATGATGGGTTCTCTCCCATGGCCGGCGCTGCGAGGATGTGTGTCGTGCTGTGTGGCACCACCTGTTGTCCTAGCGAAGAACAGCCTTCCTAGCTCGGCCCCCAAGATTTGCAGCCTCAGAGCCTCCGTCCACGCCCTTCCCTGCGTGAGATGCAGGCACAGCGCACACTCCTTGCCTGGCCTGGGGACGACTGACCTCACTTGTCCGCCTGTCCCGCCCTGCCCGCTTTGTCCCTGTCTGATCTCCAGACGCCTCCACCTAGCTGGGGACAGAGCCTTACGAGACAGTGCACACAACGCTTTCTGGCTGGTCGGCCGCTGGGCGGGAGCCAGGAGTCAGGAGGCTGCAGCCTCAGCCGGCTGCGCTCCTGGCTCTCGAGGGCCGGCTGATGGTCAGAGAGCCTGGAGGCCAAGGGCCCTGAGAACAGATGTGAGCACAAGCCGACCGGGAGCAGCCTCCCCTCCGGGTCGGAAGAGCCCAGCAACCCAGGCGGTTCTGGTCCAAAGACAGGCTTCCCCTCCCGACTGACCCCACAGCCACGGCTGGGAGCCCCGGGTGGGGGCCAGGCGCGGGGTGGACCTGCCTGCCCACAAGAGGCCATTCCCTTTTCCTCCTGGGCAGCCCGAAGCTGACTGTGTCTCTGGGGCCCCAAGCAGGTCCCATAGGCGGGTTCCCTGTCTACATAGGCCTGTCTACCTTGGGAAGATAGAGTCATCGGCCCCCAGACACTTTCCTGAACTTTGAGCCCTGCCCCCCCCCACCGCCCCACAGTCCCCCACTTCCGGCCCAGCCCTGGCCCCAGCAGCGGCCAGAGTCCCTGGGCCAGCAGCAGGACTTGCCCTGTGAGCCGGCCTCTGGAGCCTCAGGGCTCCCTGCAGAACTGCATGGCTCCCGCTTTCGTTTTCTCGCTTGTCTTAGATTTCTCTCCACTTGTTTAGCCTCTAAGCTAGCTTGGAGACAAACTGGGCGTTAAGGGGGCTGGGGTTTCAGCTGTGGTTCTCAGGCCTCGTCGGCCACACCGCTCTGCTGACCAGCTCTCCCGGCAAGGTGAAACGGCTCCTTTCTGACTTGCGTGTTCTGTGGTTTCTAAAAGTGTGAAATCCGAAGTGGACACCACAGAGCCGTCACGTGCAGTCCGCAGCCCTCCACGCTCCCTGGCCAGGCACCGCCTGCCGCCGCCCTGCGTGGGGCCGCAGGGACCTGAGGCTGGGGTTGCGGGTCCAGCGCGGGGAGCACAGAAACCCCGCACCCCCCACCCCCGCCACTGGGCGTTTACTGCGAGGCCACTAACTGGGTCTGTTCTCTTGTCTGCTTCCTCCCGGCCTCCTGCGGACCCCTCTGCCTCTGCCTCTGCCTCTCCGGGCCGGGTCTCCAGTGGGCGAATCAGTTACAGTGACATGTTCGAGATGCTGAAACACATGTCCCCACCCCTGGGGCTGGGGAAGAAGTGCCCTGCGCGAGTGGCATACAAGGTAGAGACCCGGACCCTGCACGGAGGCTGGCGGGGCTGGCTCGTCACCTGTGCGGCTGCCACTCTGCTGCTCCTGTCTCTTGTCTTTTTTTGGCCCCAGCCATCTCCCCTCCTTCCCAGACAGAGGGACAGTGTACAGTCAGGGCTGCCCTGAGAGCCCCCCGAGGCTCTGGGACACAGAGCCTGCCCCCTGCCTTCTCTCTCCCCTTCCCTTTCCTGGAGGCTGGGCCAACCAGCTTTTCTGGCTGAGGCTGTTTCGTTTTGGGCTCTGGTCCTGCAGTCGGCCTGGGGGGACGTGTTGTGTCCAGAGCCTGGTAGGCCCCAGGGTAGAACGGAGGCCCTGTGGCATCAAGGAGGAAAGGGTGCCAGGGAGAGGCATCCTGCTGTCGTTCAAGGGGCTTCAGAGGGCCACACAGGGTGACACAGCCTCGGGGGCCCAGGTGGGCCTGGGACCTCTGCCCCCACTGCTGAGCAGTGCAGGAGACTGAGCTGCAAGGACGGGGCGTAAAGGGAGGGACCCCGCCAGGCCTCCCTCCTGGTGGGCAAGCAGGTCCCAGGGCCCCAGCCCCACCCGCTCCCACCTGCCCGTGCTGCTCGGTCCCCCTCATGTTTCTCCAGCACCCGCCCACCGCGAGCCCCCGCACAGCCCCAGTGCCCCCTGCAAACGGCCAGCGTGTGTCTGGAGCCTTCCTGCTCTCTCCCTCTCTCCGAGTGACCTCCCCGCCAGAGCCTTCGTCTCTGGTTCTGTCTGTCGCTGCCGTGGTTCCAGACCTGTGTCTGTCGCCTGGCTCAGCACAGCCTTTGGGAGCTAAGCCACACGCAGATGCCTCTGGTGTCTCCTCATCCTTCCCCTGCCTGTCATGAGTGTCGTGCCTGCCTGCAGACCCTGCATGCAAGGCCGTAGCTTTGTCCCCAAGAAGGAGAGCTCTGTCTGCACTGATAGCTGGGGCCAGGTGGGCAGGCAGGGCCCTGATGGGGTGTGTTTCGGAGCCCCTTCCCAGCTGTGCTGGCCAGCTCCAAGTCCATGGGCAGGAAGAAGCCAGGGGCGACCTCAGGGTGGTTGCAGTGGGTGGGCTTGGTGTGCTGGGGAGGGTCCCGGAGATACAGACGCTGTGGCCAGAGAGTCCAGGCTCCAGGCAGACTCCTGCCTGTACTGGCCTAGCCCCTCTGCTGCCCCCTCGACTGCAGGCTTTCCGGTGAAGGTGCGTTGGACGGAGCCCCCTGTGTTGGAAGTCACCCGCTTTGCTCCTCCACGGGTCCCTGATTCCCCAGCTCCCCTGGAGAGGAATCCCTCCGCCTCCCCCACTGCCACCAGTGCTGGTCTGCAGGGATGCTGTGCCCCGGGAAGCCGTCGCTCCCTGTGTGAGGACCTGGGACCAGGACTGGATGTGCTAAGCAGGGCTTTGCCAGCATTCAGGGCACAGAGTCTGGGTTCCTGTCTCTAGCCACCCACCCTCCATCAGGCCGAGGAGTAAATTGGGGGCCAGGACACTGGGGACAGGGCTGGGGACAGAGTAGGCCTCCCCAGAGAAGGGGCAGAGGGGCTGTCTTGTCACCTACTGCAGGCTTGGGAGAGGATAGACAGACCCCATCTCTTACTACCATCCTGTCGAAGGGGACGAGGTCCCCTCCATGCTCAGGACATGGCGGACACATCTGAGACCCCGTTTCTCCTGGTTCCCAATCTCAGGCTCTGGGCAGCTGCTGGCTGTGCCCAGAGGAGTGCAGTACAGATGCAGCTGTTCTGTCCTGGGAGCTGCAGAGAAGAAAGGGCACTTCCCACGTGACGGGGAAGGGGAGCAGAGCTGCAGGCCCTGCCCCAGTCTGGTCTGGAGCACTTGTGTCCCTGTGGACAGCCCCAGCCGTTCCCTGCCAGTCCCAGGCTGCAGCCTGAGCCCCAGGCCCTGCACAGCCCCATCTTCTAGGTCTTTCCATCGGGAGCCGGTCTCCAAGGCTCCAGGGCTGTCTTGTGTGAGGATCATGTTTCTTCCAGGATCCCTGGCTGGGTGGCAAGAGGCAGAAGCTTCCCCGGGTGGGAGCTGGACCTCAGAGCTGTGCTCCTGGCTTCCCGCCCCTTGTCCGGAGCTCCAGGCTGCGGTGGAGGAGGCGAGGCTGGGCAGGCTGTGAGAACGGGTCTTCTCTCCCTCCTGTCTGGGGCGGTCCCAGGCTCGCCAGATGCCTCCCTCCTCAGCCATAGGCAGTCGGCCAGGGTCCTCTGGCTGAGGGAGTTCCTGGCTGCCCGCCTGCCGCCTGGTCACCTGTCCCCAGACTTCTGCTTTTCTGCAGCCTGGAGAACCCTTAGCTCGCACGAGAGGGGGCCAGGGGTGGTTGTAAATGCTGGCAAACCTCTCCTGTCCCGGCGCCTGCAGGGACCAGCCTGGGAAGCCAGTCTGGCCTCCAGGGTCTCCAGCACTGTGGTCCTGGGGGGACCCGGTGTCCCAGCCCTGACCTGTCCCTTGTCCCCAGCGTCTGGTTCGCATGAACATGCCCATCTCCAGTGAGGACATGACTGTCCACTTCACATCCACACTGATGGCCCTCATCCGGACCGCACTGGACATCAAGCTGGCTCCAGGTGAGCAGGGCAGCCTTGAGGGTCATGGTGACACCAAGCCAGGGCCATGCACCTGCCCTTGAGAGCAACCCCCAGGCAGGTGTGCAGGGAGTGGGGTGAGGGGGCCTGTCTGGAGGGGACTGAGGACAGCTGCCCACGGCGCCTGTGTTGGGCACTGACTTTGTCCCCTGATAACCGTCCGACATGTTAGCTCTGTAAGGCTCCCTTTTTTATATAAAGAGATTGAGTTGCAGGGACGTGAAACGCCTTGTCCGGGTTCCCCAGAGCCAATGAAGCTGGAACACAGCCCGGCCCAGCTCATGAGCCAGCACCCTCTGGGGTGGAGTCTGACGGCCTTCTGCGCCCCACCCTGTAGTGAGCCCAGTCCTCCACCAGGCCCTCTCCTGGGCTTGCCAACAAGACCACGTAGCTTGTGCCCAATCACGAGACCGTGACCCTCCAGCATGTCCTCCCCACCGCATCGTTGTGTGCTGACAGCGTCCCCTTCACAGAGAGCATTTGAGTCACAGAGAGGACTTGCCCCGTCCCCCACATCACCCTCCTCCCCATATCCATGCCCTGAGCTCAGCCAGCTTGTGTGCTGGACGAGCTGAGGCCACTCCCGGCCTGATTTCGTTAGCTACCTGATGTCTTTCCCCATCATTTCTCTCTCTCTACCAAATTATCTGTACCAATACAAAAACACGCTATCATTTCTCCCATCTTTAAAAAATCCCCCTGTTCCCCTTCATTCACGTCCCGGTCTTTCTTGTTCCCTTCAGAGCAGCCAGCTCTGGGAGAGAGTGGTTTGTATTGTCGCTCTGGGATGTCACCACAGCACGTCCCCGAGACTGCCCTTGTTCAGCTCCCCCATGACCTCAAGTTCTCAGCCCTGAAATCACAGACCCATCTGCAGCTTTTTCTCAGTTCTTGCTCCCTTCTGTGTGGAACTCTTTCGTTTCTCCTTTTCGGGCTTCTCTCATCTCCCAGTCTCACCTACTCCCAGGCTTTAAATACTGTGAATTTCAAATTTGTGTTAAGCCCAGGCCTCCGGAGCGCTGTACCTATAATATCCCGCAGGTTGCTTGCTATCTGCACTTGGAGGCCCCACTAGCTTTTCAGAGTTCACTGGCCCCTCGAGCCCGAGAGAGCCCATAGCTTCCCTGTCCCCATCGGTACAAACTGTGTTCTTCCAGTCACTCAAGACAAAACTGTTGGAGTCATTCTTATCTTCCTTTTTTCTTACCCCTTTTCTGATCCATATCTGATCTCTTATTCTAACTTCTGATTCTACCTTCAAAACACAACCTGAATTGTGGCCCCTTTTCCAGTCTCCTGGTGCGAGCTGCTGCTGTCTGTTAGCCCTTGACATGCTTGTCACCATAGCGTCTCACCACCTGCTTCTGCTCCTGCCCTGTCAGTCTCCCTTCAACACGACAGCCAGAATGATCACGTTAAAAATCAACCAGTAGAGGCCGGCCGAGTGGCTCAGTTGGTTAAGAGCTCACTCAAGAGTGCGAACTCTGAGCAACAGGGTCGCCGGTTCTATTCGCAGCCCAAACTGAGCTGCCACTAAGCTGCCAACAGGTGGCAGGATAGCTCAGCTAAAAACAAAACAAAACCAAAAAAAAATCAATAAAATTTCTCTAGGTAGACTGATCAAGACAAAAAAGATAAAAATAACCATTAGAATGAAAGAGTAAGCATCGCTACAGATCCTGCCAACAGTAAATAGAAAACAAGGAAATTGATGAACAGCTTTATGTCAAAAACTTCAATGACTTAAACGAAATGCAAAAATGCCTTGACACAAACTATTCAGTTCATTGAAGGAGAAATAACCTAGGGCTGGCCAAGTGGCTCAGTTGGTTAAGAGCTCACTGAAGAGTGCGACTCTGAGCAACAGGGTTGCCAGTTTCATTCCCAGCCCAAGCTGAGCTGCCAACAAGTAACAGGATGGCTCAGCTAAAAAAAAAAAAAAAAAGATAGCTTTGGGAAAAAAAGAATAAATAACCTGAGTACTACTATACATATTAAATTATGTTTATAGTTAAGAACCTTCCAACAGGGCCGGCCGAGTGGCGCGATGGTTAAGAACTGGCTTGGGACACCAGAGGGCCCCGGTTCGGATCCCACATATGAGGGCCAGTGACACTGCCCTCTACAGCTAAGATGCTGAACAACAGCTCAACCTGGAGCTGGGCTGCTGTGAGTCGCCGGCGATGGCGTAGGCTGCAGCCCCTGTGGCTGTGGGTTGCCATGGGCTACCGTGTGTAGCCAGCAGCCAGTGTGAGTGGCCAGCAGCCGCTGTGAGCAGCCGTCCAGAAGCCGGCAACTGATCTGCCTCGCCTGGGAAGAGCGCAATGATGGTGCCAACTTGGGCCAGTGAAGCAACGTCCTCCACAACTAGACTGAAGAACAAAAGGACAGCAACTTGTCTGTTCCCCTTCCCCAATTCCCCAATAAAAATCTTTAAAAAAAAAATTAACTTGAAATGAATCATAGACATAAATGTAAAATTATAAAACTTCTAGAAGAAATCACAGGAGAAAAATCTTGGCAATTCTGAGTTATGCAAAGGTTTTTTACATAAATCTTTAAAACGGTTTAAGACACATGAATCATGAGCCATAAAAGAAAATTTCATAAACTGAACTTTATCAAAATTAAACTTTTGCTCTCCAAAAGATAATTAAGAAAATGAAAAGACAGGGCAAAGACTATGAGAAAATATTTGTTAAAACACATCTAATACAAGATTGGTTTCCAAAATATGTGACGACCTCTCACCACTCAGCAATAAGAAAATAACCCAATAAAAACAGGCAAAGGTTTTGAACAGATACATCACCGAAGAAGATACATGGAGAGCTAATAAACACAAGTAAAGATGCTCAATATCATTAACCGTTATGAAAGTTTAAAAAGTGGGTTGAAATGAAAACATCCATCCACACAAAACCCGTATACGAATGTTTATGGCCTTATTCATCATCGCCCCAAACTGTAAAGGACTCAGATGTCCATTGGTGTGTGAATAAACACACTTGGTGTGTCCATACAGTGAACTAGCGCACAGCCACCAACAGAGACAGACTCTGAGACACCCCACGACGTGGGAGGACCTCAGATCCACATGCTGAGTGAGCGAAGTCAGACCCAAACTCCAGCACACTTGTGTGATGCCGTTTATACGATTTTCTGGAGAAGGCAAAACCATGGGGACAGAAAACACGCCAGTGATTGCTGGAACCAGGAGCAGGCTAAGGGGTCGACTGTAGCGGGTCTGAGAACTGGGCAGGGGGCGTGTTCCGTGGTCTTGATTGTGGTGGTGGGTACATGACTGTGCATTCACCAAAACTGATAGGATGGGATAACTTAAAGGGTGGGTTATACTGTATGTAAATGAACCTTAACCTGAAGTGAAGACAGGACAGGCGTGTTTTACTCCTGCTCAGAACTGGCTGCTGCCTCTGCACTGGCTTCCTGGCTTGTCGTGTGACACACAAAGCTGGCCCCTTTCTGCTTTCAGGGTCCACACACATGCCACTTTCTCTTGAGACCTTTCCTGACCACCCTGTCAAAAACGGCAGCCCTCCTGCTATTTCCTGCCTGGCCCCACCTCATCTGACATGCCATATGTTTTTTTTAACTTTATTGGGGAACGGTGTGTTTTTTCCAGGACCCATCAGCTCCAAGTCAAGTTGTTGTCTTTCAGTCTTGTCAAGGGTGCAGCTCAGTTCCGAGTCCAGTCGCTGTTTTCAATCTAGTTGCGGGGGTGGGGCGTGCAGCCCACCATCCCATGCAGGAATCCAACCAGCAACTTTGTTGTTAAGAGCACGTGCTCTAACCAACTGAGCCATCCAGCCGTCCACCTGCAGCTCAGGGGCAGCTCAGCTCAAATCATCGTCTTCAATCTAGTGGTGGAGGGCGCAGCTCACTGGCCCATGTGGGAATTGAACCAACAACTCTGTAACTCAGCACTGCTCTAACCAGCTGAGCCATCCCTGCGACATGCCAGATTTTTAACTTCTGGCTCCTTCATTGTTGATTCAAGTCATGTACCTCCAAGAGGGCCTCTTTCCTTGTTCCTGTTCCATCACCTAGACCAGTACTTGATGTTTGGTGGGTGCTCAGTAAATGCTAGTGGATGAGCGGATGAGTGTCTGGGACACCACCATGAACCTCCCCTGTTCTCATGACCCACCCCACCCCCACACGCCCGTGCACACACATGCATGCCCCTCGAATGCTCAGCCTCTTTCTCTAGGCAGGTTCAGGCAGGGAGAGCTCTGAGCAGCCCCCACGGTAGTGTTTTTTCCCACCACCCCTTCTCCCAGCACCGCCTCTGCCCCATGCCCCCCACACTGAGTCTCTCAGCCTGTCGCCCTGTGGCAGGTGGGGGAGGCGATGCTGTGGGATCTCTCTTAACATCTCTCTCCTCATTCCCACCCTTGTCCTGCCCCAGCTGGCACCAAGCAGCATCAGTGTGATGCAGACTTGAGGAAGGAGATTTGCTCTGTGTGGGCCAACCTTCCCCAGAAGACGTTGGATTTGCTGGTGCCACCCCATAAACGTAAGTGAGGCTGAGCAGCACCCCCTTGTGTGTCCCACCCAGAGCAGAGCAGGGAGGCCTGTGGGACGGCACTTGTGCATTCACCTCGGACAGCTGGGCTCACCTCAGTCATCGAGACTCAGTTTCCGGCTACAGGGTCACACACGAGCTGTGGGAGAGGGATGTGGACAGTACTCGGGGGGGCAAAGCCACCCACACTCATAGTGTGAGACGTTGGTTTCCAAAAAGCCAGAGAAAAGGTATGCAGACTCCCCGTTACAGATGCCCCAAACAGGGAGGTGCTTACAAGTAAACTCTGCCCCAACTTGTGGGGCCTCGGGAAGTCAGGGCAGCTGTGCGTGGAGCACGCCAGCATCTGGAGCGCTGCTTAGGGACGAGCCCCTTTGGCCTTAGCGTATGCAGGAGTCTTGCTGGTGGGGGCTTCAGCCCATGTCCTCTGTCTTTCCTGTCCCCTTTCTCCCCCAAATTCCAACCTTTGCATCCTCTGCCTCGCCTGCTCGTCTCCCCAGCTGATGAGATGACAGTGGGGAAAGTCTATGCAGCTCTGATGATATTCGACTTCTACAAACAGAACAAAACCAGCAGGGATCAGATTCATCAAGCTCCTGGAGGCCTGTCTCAGGTACTGGTTCCAGGATTTCCAAGAAGTAACACTGAGACTTGGGGGCCTACAGATGTTTGACAGCATTGGGACCTACACCCTTGAGAACGCAGCAGGGAAAGGAAGTTGAGAGGTTCTTGCTGCTGCCTGTCCGACCCCCAGACTCAGAAACCCCATATGGCCTTTGTGCTTCCTGTTAGCTGGCTGCCTGGTTGTATAGGGGAGCCCCTGACTTGGGGAGCTCATGTTTAGGGGTGGAAGATAGGAGAGCTGGGGACAGAGGCTCTGAGCAGCACCACGTTTGTAAGCGGTAGAAGAAGGGTTGTGAAAGCTCCTGGAGGAGACGTTTGGCAAGGCCCAGAGATTCACCGCCACGGCCCAGGGTCAGGACCCGCTCTACTCTTCACTCTGAATGGGATCATAGGGGCCCACCCTCCTGATGTCATCCTGCAAAGACGACGACTTCCCACCTAGCTAGACCTTCAGTGATCATAGGCAGGCCCTTGGTCTAGCAAGTTGCCTGGTGTTTAGAGCTTACAGGGACCTTCAGCCACCTTGGGATGGGAAGTGCCTGTTGCGCATGCCATAGCCACCCTTCCCCTGGTCTGTTGCAGACACGTCCCCAGCCCTGAAGTCTCAGAATTCTGCTCAACCCAGGGCTCCAGCAGCCTCTACCAGTTAGTCTGTATGTCATTTGTAATCAGATCTAGTCCCCAAATTTTGTGGGTAGGGGAACCGAGGCTCCATGAAGTAAAATGACTTTCATAGACCAGTTTTGGAGCAGATCCCTGCGTGTCCCATATGTAGGGGTGGGGACGAGAGCTGGCAAGCCTCACCGCCACACAAGAAGCCCTGCCCCACAGGTCACTGGGGCGTTGGGGCGTCTGTGAGGCTGCCCGCAGCCCTCAGAGCTCTTTCTCTCCCCTATATCCCTCTGCAGATGGGCACCGTGTCCCTGTTTCACCCTCTGAAGGCCACGCTGGAGCAGACGCAGCCGGCTGTGCTCCGAGGAGCCCGGGTTTTCCTTCAGCAGAAGAGCTCGACCTCCCTCAGCAATGGTGGGGCGGTGTGAGTACTCGGCAGGGTGGTGTGAGTACTTGGCAGGCCGATGTGAGTACTCGGGGCAGTGTGAGTACTCGGCGGGACGGTGTGAGTACTCAGCGGGGCGATGTGAGAGTACTCAGGGTGGTGTTAGTACTCAGGGCAGTATGAGTACTCGGCAGGGCGATGTGAGTACTCAGCAGGGTGATGTGAGTACTCAGCGGGGCGATGTGAGAGTACTCGGAGTGGTGTTAGTACTCGGGGCAGTGTGAGTACTCGGCGGGACGGTGTGAGTACTCAGCGGGGCGATGTGAGTTCTCAGCAAGCATACAGGGCTGACAGTGACAGTGTGGGTCAAGCAGGACTCCCAGTTTTTCTACCTCCCTGCTCTGAGGGGGACCCCCTGATCAGCATGCCAGAGAGCCTTCAGGTCGCATCACAGGTCTCTGGTTTGGCCCTGTGTACACCTGCATCCCGATGTTTCATTGTGGGTGTCACCGAAAAGCTAGTCCAGATCTGCTGCCAGCAGTTTCTGTTGTGAACTCTAAAATTAATTCCTGTAACGTTAGGTGCCTCTAACAGCACTGAGACCAACTGATTTAGACAGTTCATGATTCCAGCTGTCACCTGCCGCTGTTCACACCTCTTTTGGGTGAGGGGTTTCAGACTCTGCTTCTTCCTTGGCCTTTGTTGCTTGAAGACTGTTAAGAAATTATTTTTTTCACCCCCAGGGCCTCACTCCATTCTGTTAATGGCCTATTCTAATCTTTCTAAGCCCTTGAAGACATTGTCCTCTTACATCTCCATTCTGATCTTGATTTCTGAAGCAACCGTATTTTGCGGACAAATTGGTAAGGTCATCCTATATCACGTAACTCTTCCCACAATAATTCTTCCTAAAGAACCACCCAAACCAAGTGATAGAAAGTAACAGTCGTTTCTGTACTGTGGGTTGCTGAGTGGTGGTAGCTGTTGGCTGGGCTGGGTTCCACGCGAGGACAGGGTTCTTTCAGCCAGCCCCACGGGCCCCCAAGGCGAGTGGATTTTCTACATCTGTGAACGTGCAATAGGCCAAGGCAGGGACATGAGCTCTGTCTCACTCAGCAAGTGCTGAGTAGGGGGCCTGATCCAGCCTGGCATCCTGGAGGACAGAGCTGCGGATGGCACGTGTGGGGAGGGCTCCTGAAGATGCAGGGTGATTTGTGTGTGGCCAGGGTTCATGGTCTCGTAGCACCGAAGAATGGAGACACGGACCAGAGAGGCAAAGTTTGCAGAGAAAAACAGTTTATTAGAGCAAAGAGATACAGCTCTCTAAAAGAGAGGAAGCCTCCGAAACTAGAGTGTGTGCTGACTAGCGGGGAGGCTTCTGTTTATATGCTTTTCCTAGCCTATCTGGGAAGAAAACTGGCACCTGCTTGAACAGGTTAGATTTATTTCTTTGGCTGTTTCAGCCTGGAGGAGGCTTTTCAGTATAGTTTTAGTTTCCTCAGGGTGTAATTGATGTCCCTGGTCTGGTAGGAGTCAATTGTCTCAAGGCTGTGGCTGTTGGGGTAAAGGCTGAGGGCAGATTGGCCTTGGAGATATGTTTATCTTTTGCTCACCCTACCTGGCAATTTCTGACTGCCTGATTGTTACACTGACTAACCTATCTTACTGAGTCCTGCCTCTCCTCACATGTTTAGACAGTCTTCCTTAAAACCTGATTTTGGTTCATGGACTGTTAATCAGGTAGCTTTTGCTGAGTCACAAACTGCCATAACTTACTGGTATGTCACTTCTTGAGTTCCAGAACCAGCCTGGCAGTTCTTTGGGCCTAGGCCTGGGCCAGCTCCTCAGGGCCGGAGAGCCCAGGACGGCTTATTCTTTTCTCTCTTTACTTTAAAAAAATACTTTATTGGGGAATTGGGGAAGGGGAACAGACAAGTTGCTGTCTTTTGGCTCTTCAGTCTAGTTGTGGAGGATGTTGCTTCACTGGCCCAAGTTCATATTATCATTGTGCTTTTCCCGGGTGAGGCAGTCACTTGCTGGCCATTGGACTGCTGTCCACAGTGGCTCATGGCATCTCATGGCAGTTCACACTGGCTGCCGGCCAGCCTCACTGCAGCCTACGCTGTTGCCGGCAACTCACGGCAGCCCAGCTCCAGGTCGAGCTGTTGTTCACAGTCTTAGCTGTAGAGGGCGCAGCGCCACTGGCCCTCATGTGGGATCTGAACCGGAGCCCTGCTGCTCAGAGCTGGCGTCCCAAGCCAACTCTTAACCAATGCGCCACTCAGCCGGCCCAGGACGGCTTATTCTCCTGTCTGGTGTCTGCGCTCATCTGCATGGTGAGGGCCTGAGAGCAGCCCGAGAGGAAGGCCAGGGTGCAGGGGTTTAGCCCTCTCCTTGTGCCCCATTGGCCAAAGCAAGTCACCTGGCCAGGCCTGAGCGCACCTCCCTCCATAGGACACCGGGAGAACCTGACCGGAATGACGAGGCTCTCTCACAGAAATCGCGCTCCGCAATGGTGCACAAAGACCCTGGCAACTGGCCTCCTAGAGGCCCTGGAAACCCCAGTCAGGGCTCCAGACAGCACTCTGAAGGGGGTGCTGGCAGCTCTGGGAAGGTGAAGGATATTGTCAAATTCCCCAGCGATGCTTGGCCTGGTTATTAGTGTGGCCAGCTGAGGCCATCAGGCCCCACCTCTGAACTCAGAGTGTGACGGATGCCACTCAACCTGTGTGTTATGCTCCACTGAACACCAGAACCAGCAGTAACCCCAGTAAATGCCGGGCAGTTTCCATGCCATTTGGGAGGCATGATAAGACAGACAGACACTGTCAGGGAAAGGGCAGGCAGGTGGGGTGCATGTGCCCTGGGAAGGCCTCCCCCAAAAGGTGACACTTGAGACTAGATCTGAAGGGGAGAAAGGCTTCCATGGCTGAGGTCGGGTGTTGGGAGGAGCCTGGACTGCCAGGGCTCACTGTACGCCTGGGGGACGGGGTGTCCTTACTACTCTTCATTGTACACGCTGTCTCGCGTGGTCTCGTCCTTGTTAAGAGTGATCCCTGCTGCCACTACACAGGTGAGCTCCTGTCAAGGGCTGTGGAATGTGCCAGGTGTCCCCAGACCAAGAAGTGGTGGGCCCAGGCTTCCCTTGAATGGGTGGCCAGGGTCCCCTCTATGCATGTCCACTCTGAGCCCTGACATTGGGTCCACAGCCCTTGCTGTGCCTGAGCTTGGAAGCACCTGCACACAAGTGGCATTGCTCCCCTGGGATCTTTGTAGCCCTGAACGGGGCTGGTGGAGGTTCCTGGAGGGTCCACCCAGGTCCGGGGTGGACATTCTGTGCCATGCAGACCTCTGAGCCAACAGAACAAACCTTTCTCCACAGACAAACCCAAGAGAGTGGCATCAAGGAGTCTGTTTCCTGGGGCACTCAGAGGACCCAGGAGGTGCCCTACGAGGCGAGGACCCCCCTGGAGCGTGGCCACTCAACAGAGATCCCGGTGGTGCAGCCAGGAAAACCAGTGAGGGCTCCCAGGGCTGGGGGTGGGTGGGGGTGAGATGGGAATGGGGGTGAAATGGGGATGTGGAGTGAGTGTGACTGGGGGGCTGCTGTACCCCCAGGCTGTGGATGTACAGATGCAGAGCATAGCCCTGAGGGGCCCTGATGGGGAGCCCCAACCTGGGCTGGAGAGCCAGGGTCGTGCGGCCTCCATGCCCCGCCTGGCAGCAGACACACAGGTGGGTGTCCAGGAGATTCGGGGATGGGCGGGTGGGAGATGCACAGTGTGTGGGGGGAGGGTGCGTGTGTCCCACTTGTGAGCTTTATTGGGGTGGAGCCTCCGCAGCGCACTGCAGCCTGGACACTGTCAACCCCGTTGGGCACCCTAAATGCAATGCTGGTCTCGAGACTTGTGGCCAGGCCAGCTAAGGTCCCCACCACCCACCTCTGTCCCCGACCCAGCCTCTCCCACCCCACCCCCCTGCCCCGAAAATGCACGCGGTGCCTAACACCTCAGTCCACCCTTTGCCCTCGGAGGCTCCGGGGTGACCTGGCCTTTCTCTGGACATTGGAGGCAGCGCCCCCTCCTGGGATGGGTTGGTGACCGCCAGGAAGCCTGTCGGGGGCTTTCCTGGGCCGAGTCCCTTTCACATCCACACAGGGAGGGGGCTGCAGACCGGAAGCCGTGTCAGGGGACCTGCTCTCACTGGCCAGCCAGGCCAGGGCCCGGAGAAGGGCTCGGCCTGTGGCCCGGGACCCTCAGGGCCTGTCCGCCGTGCGCCAGCTCCCACTGGCCAGAGAGAGGCCTGAGGCGCCCCTTCCGCCCAGTTCCTCCCCCCAGGCCTGTGCCTCCTTTTTGTGGTTTCTCCTTTTGTCCTTCAATCTGGACTTGATTCTGGTCACTTGCCACTTGCGTCCTCTCTCCGCCCACCGCCCCCACGAGGCCTCCGCGGCTCCGCCGGCCTGAGAGCCCGGCGCGCGCGTCACCGCGCCTCGCGCAGCTGCGCTGGCAGAAAAGGGGGCGCTCGGGCGGGGCGGGGCTTTCCGGGGACAGGGAGGGGCTGGCGGCCCCAGGAGCCCTTCCCGCACCCCGGGGAGCGCCCCCTGAGGCCGCGCGGCGCGCGTCCCCCCGCAGCTGGCGCCGGACAGCAGCCCCATGAAGCGCTCGGTGTCCACGCTGGCGCCGCAGCGCCCCCCCGCGGCGCAGCTCTGCAGCGGCGGCCCGGCCCGCGCCCCGGCCCCGCAGGCGCCCGCGCACCATCACCACCGCTGCCACCGCCGCCGGGACCGCAAGCAGAAGTCCCTGGAGAAGGGGCCCGGCCTGCCCGCGGACAAGGATGGCGGTGCGTGTGGCGCCCCTCGGGTGGCGGGGGGGGCCCCCCCCTTCCCCCCCCGACTGTTTCCCGGCGCCCCCGCCCGCTCGGCCGTGCTGACGTGCTCTCCCCCCGGCAGCGCCGCCTCCGGGAGACGGGCCCCCCGGCGGCCGGCGGGAGCGCAGGCAGGAGCGCGGCCGGTCCCAGGAGCGCAGGCAGCCGTCGTCGTCGTCCTCCGAGAAGCAGCGCTTCTACTCGTGCGACCGCTTCGGGGGCCGCGAGCCCGGGCCCCCGCTCGGCAGCCGCCCCGCGTCGCCCACGGCCGCGCCGGAGCCGGGCCCCCCGAG